GCATAGTAAGGCATAAAAATGAAAAAAAGTCATAGTATTGTATGGCATGAAAATGAAAAAAAACGTCATAGTATAGTAAGGCATAAAAATGAAAAAAAAACCTCATAATATAGTAAGGCAAAAAAAGTCACAGCATAGTAAGGTAAAAAAAAAATCACAGCATAGTAAGGCATAAACATGAAAAAAAGTCATAGTATTGTATGGCAAGAAAATGAAAAAAAACGTTATAGTATAGTATGGCATAAAAATGAAAAAAAATGTCATAGTATAGTAAGCCAAAAAAAAGTCGCAGGATAGTAAGGCATAAAAATGAAAAGAAACGTCACAGTATAGCATGGCATAAAAATGAAAAAAAACGTCATAGTATAGTAAGGCATAAAAATGAAAAAAAAAGTCATAGTATAGCAAGGCAAAAAAAAGTCACAGGATAGTAAGGCATAAAAATGAAAAAAAAGTCATAGTATAGTAAGGCATGAAAATGAAAAAAAAGTCACAGTATAGTAAGGCATAAAAACGAAAAAAAAGTCATAGTATAGTAAGGCAAAAAAAAATCACAGGATAGTAAGGCATAAAAATGAAAAAAAACATCATAGTATAGTAAGGCAAAAAAAAATCACAGGATAGTAAGGCATAAAAATGAAAAAAAAGTCATAGTATAGTAAGGCAAAAAGGTCACAGTATAGTATGGCATAAAAATGAAAAGAAACGTCATAGTATAGTAAGGCAAAAAAAAAGTCGCATGATAATAAGGCATAAAAATGAAAAAAAAGTCATAGTATAGTAAGGCAAAAAGGTTACAGTATAGTATGGCATAAAAATGAAAAAAAAACGTCATAGTATAGTACGGTGTTACGGCTGTGGCCGTATTCTGGGGACCTTTTTCTCTCCCTGTGTGTGGTTGTGTTGTGTTCTGTCTTGGTCGCCTGTTGTTACCTTCTGACCCTGCGGGAGGGGATACCCGTGACGTCACCGGGATTTCCTGGCAGTGCTCTGCCTTTTCGCCGCACCTTCGATGCCCCAGCTGCAAGCCATCTCTCCTGATCAGCTGGGCCTACCTCTCGTCTACACCCAGCGTATAAAAGAGCTGTCATTTGTTTGTTCGGGGCGATCTGTGTTGCCAGTACGCAGACTTGCTACCGCGCTGTGTACCAGTGATTGTTTTGGTTGTGGATAACTGTTTAGAGTCGAGTGAAACTCTGATAGAGCTAGGGTTGTTTTTTTGGTTGCTGTCTAGCGTAAAGCTAAGTGCAGCTCTGTTTGAGAGCTGGCGTTTTGTTGTTTTGTTTTTCTTTTGTTAGCTGCTGGTGTTCTTTTGTGTTAATTGCGTTATTGGGTGGCTCTGGTTTTCTTGTGCCGCCTCTCTTTTGTCTAACCTGCCTGCTTGTTAATAAATGACTTTATTTAACCCTTAACATCTTGGGTTTTATGTTACTTCCCTTTCCCCTAACGAGCTGGTTGTAACATAAATAAAAATGCCTTAGTACAGTAAGGCATAAAAATGACAAAAAAGGTCATAGTATAGTAAGGCAAAATTAAGTCACAGTATAGCATGGTATAAAAACGAAAAAAACGTCATAGTATAGTATGGCATGAAAATGAACCACAAAGTCATAGTATAGTATGGCATAAAAATGAAAAAAAAATGCCTTAGTACAGTAAGGCATAAAAATGACAAAAAAGGTCATAGTATAGTAAGGCAAAAAAAGGCACAGTATAGTATGGCATAAAAATGAAAAAAAAATGCCTTAGTACAGTAAGGCATGAAAATGAAAAAAAAGTCATAGTATAGTTAGGCAAAATTAAGTCACAGTATAGCATGGTATAAAAACGAAAAAAACGTCATAGTATAGTATGGCATGAAAATGAACCACAAAGTCATAGTATAGTATGGCATGAAAATGAAAAAAAAGTCATAGTATAGTATGGCATAAAAATGAAAAAAAAACGTCACTGTATAGTATGGCTAAAAATGAAAAAAAAATGCCTTAGTACAGTAAGGCATGAAAATGAAAAAAAAGTCATAGTATAGTTAGGCAAAATTAAGTCACAGTATAGCATGGTATAAAAACGAAAAAAACGTCATAGTATAGTAAGGCATAAAAATGAAAAAAACGTGATAGTATACTATGACATAAAAATGAAAAAAACCTCATAGTTTACTATGGTATAAAAATGAAAAAAAATGTCACAGTATAGTATAGAATAAAAATTAGAAACACCGTCATAGTATAGTATGGCATAAAAATGAAAAAAAAAACGTCACAGTATAGTATGGCATAAAAATGAAAAAAATCGTCATAGAATAATAAGGCATAAAAATGTCATAGTATATTAAGGCATATAAAGTCATGAAAATGTCCTAATATAATGATTTATAAAATCGTCATAGTATATTAAGGCATATAAAGTCATGAAAAAGTCCTAATATAATGATTTATAAAATCGTCATAGTATAGTTAGGTATAAAAAGTCATAAAATCGTCATAGTATAATAAGGTATAAAAATTCCTAAAAACGCCACAGTATAATAAGTCATAAAAGTCATAAAAACATCATAGTATACCAAGGCATAAAAAGTCATGAAAACGTCATAGTATAGTCAGGTATAAAGAGCCATAAAATCATCACAGTATATTAAGGCAGAAAAAGTCATGAAAACATCACATTATAGTAAAGCATATAAAGTCATTAAAGGTCAAAGTATAGTAAGGCAAAAATAAGTCATAATATCTTCATAGTAAAGAAAGGCATAAAAAGTCACAAAATAGTGTAGGTATTGTAAGGCACAAAAAGTCATTAATACATAACCGTATCATAAGTCATAAAAAGTCCTTAAAACGTCATAGTACGTTCAGGAGGTCATAAAACTATCCTGGTATCCTGGTAAGGCTTAAAAAGTCATGAACTCATCACAGTATAGTAAGTCATAGAAAGTCACAAAAATGTCATAGTATTGTAATGCACAAAAAGTCATGAAATCTTGACAGTATAATATGGCATGAAAAGTATTAAAATTATCATAGTATAATAAGGTATAAAAAATCACAAAAACCTCAGTAATGCATAAAAAGTCATAGCATAGTGAGGTATAAAAAGTATTAAAAACTTGTCATAGTATACCAAGCCAAAAAAAGTCATGAAATTATTTAAGTACACAAAGGCATTTTCAAATCAGAGCAACTTGAATTTTTCACCTCACAGGCCAAGAAGAGGAAACTGGACAAGAATGGACAAAAATAATTTTTCTCCAATCGGCTTCATTTTCACAGGGACACATTCTTAGAGGGAGGGGGTTGTAGGGTTGAATTTGTAGCTCTCTGGTCCCTGTCAATTTGGAGATATGGGCCCCTACACTTCGCATGCAAAGGTATTGCCATCGGACACTGTCCACTCCAAATACCCTGGCCCCAATGTTAAGGTAATTAAATTGGACTGTCCACTTTTGTCCACTATGAATACCTTTTGAGTGTAAATTGCAAGAGAAATTGGAAAGCTTAATCAAGTACAATATCACTTGGAGCCACCCAGTTTGAACTACAGCCCAGGGATCTGTCAAACCATCGGCAGTCCAGTCACCCAGCCAACCTGAGCCAAATATGGACGTTTGTTGTCAAACAGGCCTGTCAACTTGACTGGCAGTCACCCTTGTAGACCCTTCCTGACCCCCAAAGGTGGGCCCTATTGGACGACGTGGACCAGAAAAAGGTCAGTGGATGGTTTCATCAGTTTTTCATTCAGGGCCCGAGAATCTATTTTGGGACATTTTGGGCTACAATATGATCGTCCGTGGACATTAGTAAGGGTGTAAGTCCAACTGGCAGCCTTTTGGATTGCACAACATTTCTTCTTTATGGACAAAAAACAGCGCTATCTAGAGCAATTGTCCAGTAGACACAACTAGATGTCCAATGCCAAGAGCTTTGCATTGCCAATGGACGCTTTGGCCGTACGTCATTTGAGACTACCTTAGGCAGGAAGATGCCATTCACATTTTGTCCAAAAAGTGGAAGATTCCCTAGTCATAGTAGGCAAAAATAGGTTAAAAAAACATCATAGTACAATAAGGGATAAAAATGTCAAAAAATTTCATAGTATAGCATAGGATAAAAACATCAAAGGCATTATAATATAGTAAGGCATAAAACATCATAGTAAAAACATCATAGTCATATTATTATCATTATTTTCTTGTTTTATTACTACAGCTTCTGTATTTTTATTTCTTGTGTGCATTAGCCTCAGATTGTTTTACCATTAATACTTGAACTGTTTTATCAGCAGCTTGTCAGTTACTTTGAATTGCAATAAATTGTACAAAAGGTGCGATGACAATAAAGTTCTATTTAAAAACAATACGTTTTTTCGCTTCTTATAAAATGTAAATTTCATTTTAGTCATGCCTCCAATCTAAATCTTGTGCTCATGCTGTAGTTTTTTTTTGTTAAATAAAAGATTCTGAAAGCTGAGACAAATTCAAGGTGTAGATTGAGATTCCATGTAAAATGACTATCCAATACTGTATTCGCCAATTCATTCATTCATCATACTTACAGCAGGCCTGCAGCTTTGGGTTACCCTCCAGTAGCACCGGCTTGCTGCTTTCCTGACATTTTCAAATTCTTTAAAGCTGAAAGGTTTTTACTATGAAGCAGCTCCTGGCACACCCATACAACAGGCCCGTGAAGTGGATGCACTGCTTGTTAAAAGTTGTTCCTAATCTGTGCCTGTAATTTTTCAGTAGTTTTTTTGTTAGATGATTGGTTTGAAACACTGCAGAAGAGAAATGTAATGACTCAAAATCTAAAATGTTGCTCAGTAACTGACCTTTCTGTCAATTTTAGGATGTTGTAGTGTAAGATCTTGAGGAGAGGCATGAGGAGGTTTAACAGCCCGATCTGAGAGTTTGTGTCATTAGAAATTGTTGCATTTGAACCAATCCTTGAGCTCTGGCCTCTCTCCATCTCTGGACCCAATGACGCTGTAACTGAAGTGTGACTCACTGAATTTGGGTCTGAGCTCCACCCTCTCCTGTTCATCCATGTTGTCCAGGATGGTATATTTGGTTTTCTTCCTCACTTTGGTCTGTCTCCTCCTAAACACAGCCAACACATAGTGCAGGTCAGAAATGTATATATTTTTTTCAACCATGGGGCCTTCATCTATTTTCATCCAGCACAATATTTATAGGGATTTGCAGATTCTTGTTTTCACAGTGTTATCTTCAGTAAATCTGTGAACAATCACACACGTAACATATTGATGTTGAGTGAAAATTTTCATCAGGGGGCCAAATATTTTTGCTGGAGGGCCAGATTTGGTCCATAGGCCACTGTTTGCTTGCCCCTGACAGTGTGCTCAGATATATGATAACACTGATACATAATCTATGATAACAGCAGGATTAGTACTCTGAAGTGAGATGTATATAAAGTAGGAGGAAAACTTATGGTCTGTAAATGTGTGTTCACCTCTTGCAGCAGCAGATGAAGGTCCAGCTCACAGACAGGATGAAGACCATGAGCATGAAGCTGGTCAGGATGACGTAAAGCACCCTCCACTCTGACAGGACGAGCAGAGTGAACCCAACATTAATTTTAGTGTTTGATAAAACCTGCTGTGTCAAAATAAATAACTCTTATACATACAAGGAGAGCAAAGTGTGACTGGTACTTGCTCTAATTGACTGTGTGACCTCCACAAATATGATTGATAGGATCTAATTTAATCTAACATTAGAACTAGATAGAATTTCATTAGGATTGTAATTCTATCTAATTCTAATGTAAAAATCTTAACTAATCTAATACTCAGACCTAATTCTATTGTAACCTAATGTAACCTGTATCCCAGCAGGTGTCAGGTTCAACTGTTGAGTGCCATGGAAAAGTAGATTTTCTGTTATTATAACTTTTAACTGATTTATAAAACATGATATTTTCTATTCTAATCTGATGCAGCATTTTATGATGTGAACTGAGACACTTTCAGACAGTGTAGGAGTAATACTGAATGGGGTCCTCAGTTGAAAGAGAATATATGCTTGCTCATTTGCTCATTTTAAGATTTGTGCTTCATTCACAAAACATATGAATATTACAATCTTTTTAAATAATAAAATATATAATTAGTGCTTGTACTTACCACAGTTGCTCTCTCCATCACCAAGATAACGACGGATCAGATTCTCTGTCCAGAAGGGGTCACAGGTGCACTCCTTGTTGAGTGGATCACACTGACCACGGCCCGAACAGCGCAGCAAACACACTGAAGGGACATGGGACAAAAAAAAAAAAAAACAGACGAGAGAGAGATGTCAGAAAAAAAATCTGAACTCAAGCTGTTTGTGCTGAAGAGATAAAAGTGGAAGTAAAAATGTTCAAGAAATATTTCAGATGCTTAAGACTGTAAAGTAATGTGTCATTTCATTTTTTTGGTGTTTTGTCCTTTAATATCTAAAATGTATTTGATTTGCACTTTTTCATAAAATAGGGGACAATAGATTTCTGTGTTGTATATCTGTATTTTTGTTATTTGGATCTGTATCGTTTTTTTCTATTACAACCAGGTCACAAAAAGGAAAACAATGTTATGATGAAGGATCTGCACAGTAACGTTAGCATTCAAAGATAAACATGCATTTTATGTTAGAAAGTAGATTTTTCCTAATTTCTGGTTATTGTGACATGAGAAGCAAATTTAGTTTTAGCTGTAGCCCCTAATTCAAAATGTAATCTCTTTACAAATGAATTAAAGGTATCAGTCATTAAATAAATTGACATATTTGCTAAAGTATTAAAAACTATAAGAAATAAACTATAATAAAGTTTATTTTTTGTTATTTTTAGTCCAGTAAGCCAGTAAGAGAACTTTGAATTTAAAAAGTATTATCGACAGAAACTTAAAGTACCTAAAATAGATAAATGAATTATCAAATACACACAGAGACTGTCTGGAGACTTTACTTTAGCACAATTCAACCTGTAGACAAAAAAATTCAAGCGAGGATGAAGAGTAAAAAATGAAGAAGAAGCAGGACTGAATTTGCTCTGTGTGTCAGTGTAAACCTGGTCCGGAAAGAATCTGGACTGGACCTGGTCTCTGCAGTAGTAGTTACTCACAGACGGTGTCGACTCTCAGGACTCTGAACAGCAGATAGTCGCTCTTCTCTCTGAGCAGCTGGTTCCTCAGCAGACCGACCAACCTGGAGCCTGAGAGCGGCCCAGAGGGGCCCCACACCGAGAACCGCAACACGGTGCTGCACAAAACACACAGACACGTGACTTCACTTCTGTCAGCTTCTTGAAACATTGAAACATTTCTTGAACAAGATGATGATATTATATTTATGATATATATCATGTATTATACATATAATATACAGAATATATATACTACAGTATTTATTTTATATATATCAAATATTATATATTATATAGATATACATATATCATGTATATTATATATATTTATATATCATGTATGAGGAAACTGACCTCTGCTTTTCTTTGGGTGAAGAAATGTTTTTACCACAAGAGCAATCTGGCTTTTTACTCATTGAACCAGTCAGTCCTTCAGTAAACCAGTCAGTAAACCAGTCAGTCCTTCAGTAAACCAGTAAACCAGTCAGTAAACCAGTCGTTCAGTACCTGAGGTGTGAGTGTCCCTGCAGGGCTCGGACCTGGATGTCGCTGTCGAGGACGTGCAGCAGAGCGGCGAGTTGTCGGACCACCGTGTCCCTCTGAGCCAAACTGACCTGAGACACCGACACCAGCATCTCCAGCTCCACCTCCTCCCCACCCCCAGGCTCTACGGAGACACAGAAGGGACAAACCTCACTGCCCTGGAGACACTGTCTCCCTCTGTCACCACAGTATGTTCCCCCCAGCCCACAGTCTGTCCTCCTGCTCTACCTGGTCGGACCTCCACGGTGGCCGTGGCACTGTTGGAGCGCCCCTGGGCGTCAGTCACCCTCAGCTGGAACAGGTAGGTGCCCTCAACAAGGTTGGCAAGGTACAGAGACGCCTGGGTCTCTGAGCCATACAGCACATCCTGCAGATTGTTGCCATAGTTACTAATGATTTTTTAAGGCCCATTATTCCAAGATAAAGATGGAAAGATTTGTTTATTTCCAGATAATGAGAATAAATAAACAAGTTCCACAACACACAGTTCATCTCAAAGAAATTAGTAAATTTAGATGTAATATGAAGAAAATGTTTAAAAATAATATACACATTTATACATTAATCAGTAATCTACTCTAATATAATTCTCATGTAACTGAATGTAATCTAGTATAACCTAATCTGTCAGATTTCCTGTCTCAGTGGACCGACCCCAGCAGCAGGACTCTGGCTGTCTCTGACCCACAGGTAGTGGACTTCAGTCTGGTCTCCGTCGGTGACGGAGCCTCGGAGGACCAGGGAGTTGTTGGGCAGCGTCAGAGTGTGACTGCCGCTGGCATGAGCGACCGGAGGAAGACTTCTGGCTGCAGGATGAAGGACGACAGAAAAATTATGGATGGATTCTTTACAGTTGTAAATATAGATTATTTTCATTATTGATCAATAGTTTATCAAACGACAGAAAACAGTATAAGATCATCACAGTCAACCCGCCCACCTCCCTGGACCCTGACAGTCAGTGAGGCGCTGTCTGTTGCCCCCTCCTGGTCAGAGACCGTCAGTCTGAAGGTGTAGCGCCCCACCCGCAGACCTGATGCTGTAGCTACAGCCTGGTCCCCGTCCTCCAGCTTTAACCCAGGAGGACCACTGGAACAACATGAGAGAATACCACAGGTGAGTCTTCATCACATCACTTACACAAACATGTCAGAAACACACTGTATGTGTGTGTGTGTGTGTGTGTGTGTGTGTGTGTGTGTGTATCCCACCTGATGGCGTCCCAGTGGAAGCTTATGATGCCGCGGTCGTCGGTGCTTCCACTGCCATTGAGCAACAAGCTGCTGACCGGCAGAGACAACTTCCTGTCGGGACCCACGACAGCCACTGGGCCACGGTTTGACCCCCTGACCTCTGTTACTAAATAAAGGAACAGGGAAAGAAGTCGTGGTTTGGTACATTCAAAATGTTCTACTGCTTTTACTTTGAATTTGTTTATTAAACAGAGACAAACGTGGTTAATTAATTAATGACAGAAACAATACAACAGAAGTAATGTTCTGTACACGAGACACATAGATGAAAGTGCTGTAGTTAGCAGTCTGTGTACTTTCAGGCAGTTCGTTTTAAACCAAAAACCCAAAAACCCACAAACCCATGGTATTCCTGTTTCCTTTTTTTAAACCAGGGAAATAAACAAATATAAACAAACTGTCTGTCTGTGCTTGCAAAATTTTAGACTGTTTATAGAACGATCACGCTATCCTCATAGCTTTTATTTTGAAATATTTACCATTACTTCCATGCCACCTGACTACCTTTCATCATTCTTCAATTCAACAAGGAAAAATGAAAAAAGGGAATTTCCAAACACCAAATTGAATCATTTTCCAATTGGATGTTCTTGTTTTTCATTTTTTAATTCCTTGGTTTTTGCTTTAAAACTAAAACGGACTGCAGCCCCCATCCATGGTCAGGCTTTTAAATTCAGAGTTAAACCTCACAGATTTATAAAACTTTGAATGAGCTGCAGCCAAATGTACAGACGCTTCGTTTCAGTGTTTCACCTGTTGATGTATTTATAGATTTACCAGACGCAGCAGCAGCTGTGGCAGAGGCTGTGGTCCTGGTTGGAGGGTTGGTGCTGAGAGTCGAGGTGGTGGTGGTGGTGGTCGGGTCAGAGGTCACGGCTCTGGCTGGGGGGTGGGTGGTGGTTGGTGGAGCTCTGGCTGCTGTGTGGAGCAGCTTTACCATAACTGTGGAGCATCAAGAATATTATTGTGGTAAACAACAGGAATCTACGGAAGCCCTGAAGGCAAATGGAAAAAAAAACAATATTCTTTTTACAAAGGGTTCAGGAAAGTCTGGTACTTCACTGGGTCCACAACTTTCCTGTTTCCGTCTGTTTTTGTAGTAAAAAGAAAATTTTGTTCGCCTTCACGGCTTCTGTACAAACTGGTTGTTTAATTTGAACCTTTATTACTTAGAAGATGTATTCTATATTTTCAAGGGGTTTTACATTAGAAACAACATGGCACAACTCAAGAAAATACAAAGCAATCCATATTAACAGGATTTAAAAAGAGTCAAATGAAATATGAGGGAATAGAATTAGCTAAATTTTAATCAAACTCATTAAAGAGAAAAATAAAAAGGATTATTTGGGGGAAAACTCCTGTTTCCAGACACTGAGTGTCAGACCTGAGACTAAAATTTAAATGAATCTGCGCTGCTGTGAGTTCAACATGATGACTAAGTGTGAGTGGTGACTGTGGCAGAGATGTGATGTGATCACTTATGGCAGATCTAGGTTCAGTCTCCTGTAAGACAGTATTATAGACTTACACACAGTTAGCAGTTTATTAGGAACCCTAACCCTAAAACTAATACAGTGCAGTAATAACACAGCACCTGTAATCAATCCTCCTTAGTGAAGGTTAGAGGGTTCAGTTTGTGCTGTTGTTTCTATTATTGAATGTCCATTTAAATCGCCCCTCAGTTCAACAGCAGCACAAACTGAACATTACAACATTATTACAGGACTGTAGTGTCAGACTGACTTATTTTAACTAGGCTGAGCTAATAATCTGGAAACTGTGTAGTTAACACACAGTGAATAATCAGGTCAGAAACCAACTAACCCATGTTCAAAATATTCCACATTTAGGGACTTTAACATCAACAGATCATTGTGATTAGTGAAACTGGTCTGGTGTGTGTGTGTGTGTGTGTGTGTGTGTGTGTGTGTGTGTGTGTGTGTGTGTGTGTGTTCAGTACCAGTTGTTGGTTCAGGAGAAACTGAAGCGTCAGGTTTAACTGTTGGCACCATCTGTTCTACAGGGTTTCCAGGGGACATCATCAGAGATCGATCTGCAGGTGAATTATTATCTATTAACTAGAATCAGACTTCAGACCAAATCTTTCTGGAGGAATTTCAGCTTTAAAAAACAATAAATACTTATGTTATATAATTTGTTTTGTCTGCATTTGTGAATACCTTTAAAGCCACAATGTGTACAAGTTTTATATCATTACAAAACGTGGTCGTTAAATATGACATCATACTGTCAGGTGTACCTGGTTGTGTGGTCGTGCTGCTGGGCCAATGGGGTGTGGTTGGACTGGGAGCTGAAGTCCTTATATGATCTTGTTGAGTGGAGTCAGTGGTTGATGGTGTCAGTGATGTAGAAACAGTGCTGCCCTGTGTTTTGGTCTGAAAATATGAAACAAAATGAAACATTAAAAATCACTCACAGTGAGACATCAAGTTAGTGTAAATATTAACCACTATAATGACTGGAAACTTCTGGATCATTCACCAGTCACTCCAGCGGGGGAGCTTGTGTGCGTGAGAGGAGCCTCTGTCATTAAGCTGATTCATTTCATCACTCACTATTTTCTCTGCAGCAGCAGGATCAGTCGTCCTGGTTCTGTCCTCGTCTCCCTGGCTGATGTTCCCCCCAGAAGAGACTCTAATGTGGGCCGTACTGCTCTCTGTCACCCCCCTTTCTGGACCTTCCTCTGCCTCTGATTGGTTGAAACCGTCTCTTCCCTTCAAAGACAGCTGATCGGTCATCATTTCTGCCTCTGAACCACCAGCTCTCCTCTCCTCCTGGCTCCCCTCTGAATACTCCACATCCAGCATCCGAGGGTCTGGGAAGTCCTGCTGGGGCCCGTCAAAGAGGGCAAGATCCTTCAGCGCTTTTAGGTCCCCGGGGGCCTCAGAGGACCGTGACAAGGGCCTCCAGCGGCCTCCGTATGGCTCTCCTCTCACCAGTGACTGAAGCACCAGTGTCTGCGGGGACGCCTTCCGCAGGAAGGCCAAGAACGAGTCAGCCCCGGGTCTTTCTCTGGGCTGGCAGTTCTCCCTCTGCTGGCAGCTCAGGATGTAGCAACGGCCCTCAAAGAGCCAGGCCAGGTCGTAGCCTGGCAGGTCGCAGCACGCCGCCATGCACTGCGGCAACGACGACACACCGGGTATCCGCATGATACGGCTGCTCTCCACCGCCGGAGACACCACCGCCTGAGAGAAGGTCGCCCCCTGCCAGCACTGAGACGCCACTACAGCTGCAACAGAAAACGGTTGTTCTGGTTATTTTGTGATGAAGCACAGCGCCACCTGGTGGTGGAGCTCTGAGGTTTTTTTTTGTGTGTGAGTTTTTCCTTCTGAATCAAAGGTCCACTGATTGAATGTTGTACAGACTGTTAAACTCATTTAGTGTGTTTCCATTTATTTTATTTTTATTTTGTAAATAGACAAACAATTATCAGGAGAGTTGCTGATATTATTCTGTGGATCAGCCATCTGATCCGTCAACTAAGTTCTTATGTAAATAACAATCTTGTTTACTTTTAAGTTGCTTTTAAAAATAATTTTAATAATATCTAAACCAAATAATAATAATAATAATGATACTTCTCAGTATTGATGATTTGCTGCTTTTTTGTGATAATAAAATGTGATAATAAATCTTTATGTTTGGACTGTTGAGCAATATGATGACATTATTTTGGGTTTTAGAAAAATGGGAGGGCATTTCACTATTTTCTAAAATGTTATAAACCAAACGATTGACCCAAAGATTCATCTGATTAATCAACAATAACAATTTTCTTTTTAATTTTCATGCTAAATTGAGATTGTTTTGTTTGAGATAGTTACAGCTGTGTTCAAGAGAAGTTTGTTCTTAAATATATGTTGCATGTAATGACAGGTCACATTTTTTATTATTCATGCTCAACAAGAATTTTGTCAACTCTAAACTTCCAAACTGCTACAGCTGAGCTGCCTGCTCATTTACAGCAGACAGATTGTTTACATCTGCATCTCTTTCTTTAAGAAGTCACCATGTTTAAAAGCCTGTTTCAGCTGACAGTGGTAGTCACCATAGTAGGAAGCAATTCTTTTTGAATTTACGTTAAGATTAAAAAACGTCTTCTTAAAGTTGCATGAATGAAAACAGCATCAACACAAAAATAAAACATGTTTGTACCTTCCACACTGTGCAGCAGCAGCAGAAATGTTTTCTCCCACATGGTCCCTCAGTCTGAGTCTGCAGCCTGAAACAAGACTATAGACTAAATGGCAAATTAATTAATCAAAAATAAATAAACAGATTAATAAATAATGAAAATCCTCATTAGTTGTAACCCTACAGTAAACATGGATATTTAGCTTGTTTATTTCTCATCTGAAAATGTAATTTCACATATATGATGTAAACTAAATTTAACTGGCACATCTTTGTGTCAGGTTAATTCACTCTTTACACACAGTTCAAATGTTCTATGTGTTTTAATCTGAGTAAACAGCCCTGACTGCGTAAACTCATTATTCTCTTGTTGTTATGTTATTCTACAGTGGGAGATATTTTTTTTTATCATAGATCCTGTGTTCTGGCTCCTGGATAGTTTCAGCACCACGCTGCCGGACAGCGCCACTGGGAGCCCCGCCCGGCAGCAAGAAACACGCTGCTCGGTTTCTGAAAATAAACATCCCTTCATCCCTATGACAACGTTTTAATGTTATAATAACTGCTATATAACACAGAGTTTAACTTGGTCTTCTTCTTTTTTTTTTACACGAAAATGCGGCATTACCTTCGTTACAGCTTGTGTGCATCTGCCCAAATGATGCGCAGGCTGCTGTCTCCACAAAGCCGTCACTGCGAACTCTGTTCAAAATTGTAGTAATTAAAATTTTTCCTTGCTTATAGATACAGATATGTAATTGATAGCATATTAATCAAAAGAGTTTCTGTGTCTGTATATACCACTTTCAAATGCGGCATAGAGTCATTACACTAAATAACACGTCCTCGACTGGAACTTTCTACTTTTTGAGTAGGTCTTCACAGGATCTCCATTGGACTGCCCTCCGATAAACATTAGCACTGTGAGCTGGTTCTGAGCTTTATTGGGATTTTATTGGAATCATGTCAAGACAGTGAAACAAATGCAAATACGCCCCTAGAAAAGTGGCAACTTGTGATGGAGAACCTCTGGTAAAAAAAAAACAAACAAAACAAAACTCCTCTGATTTCCGCATCTGTACTTTTCAGGAAAAGGAAAATGACTGGATTTGTAAACGGAGTTCGGCGTGACTGGGGTAGGCTAACAGCGCGCCACCATGACAATGTCTGCTAATGTCTGCCATCAAATACCGACGTGTTCTCTCTTTTCTTCCATTTTTGGGACAAAGGCGACAACAAGACAGTAATTAACCGTAATTAAATCACCCCCCGTGGTACCGGTGTCCGTCTGAACAAACACCTGAACGTAAATGTTAAATTCAACCCACCTGATTGAGGTCGCCTGTTCCAGTTCCCCCAGCGTTCCTCCTTACTGGTTCTCCAGAGCGAAACCAGTCAGTGCTACTGGTCACATACTGGAGTCTGATTGGGTGGGGTTTAATTGGTTTCACGATGATGCTGAAATTGTGCCGAGAAAACACGACTAGTGTCGACTCAGCGAAAGTTAAAAGGCTAACATCCGGTCACATCTTCCAAAATAAAACGTAACAAAAAAATACTTTGAGGACTGACGATGAATAACAAAATGAAAGGCTTCTTTCAGCAGTATGTCAAAGGGAATTCATGAATTCCAGTACAGACATTGAAGTTGACTGCACAATAGTGTCATGTTTTGAAAAAGACAGACAGCCTTTAATTCTACACAGAAAACCGAGTTATTTAATTTAATTTTCTATTTTTTTATATTTCTGAGCCAAATGGTCAATATGTGTCTTAAATGACAGTCTGATGTCCAGTCAGTAAATATTAATGTGACTCAGCCAGAGTCATGTGGACCATTTTAGGTTTTAATGGTCGGAGTCACAGTTGGAGGTGGAGAAAACTATGTACTTGGACTTTTCTGCATTTAAAACAAGTCTGAGATTATAACTGAAGAATGATGTTATTCATGTACAGTGTAAATAGAAGGGCACCAAGGGTGAATCTATGTGGTTGTGAAGTGCAAATCAAAACGACAAATAGGAAAACACAACAACAAATCACTTCCTATTTGTTGTTGTGATTTGCACTTCAGGCCACTGTATGATCCCTGTGGTGCTCCTTTTCTGATGGTAACTGGGCTTGACTTAGCACCAACAGTCTGAGTTCTCTCTGTGAGGTAAGAATAGACTAGACTACGGACTGGAGTCAGATTCACATTTTAGTTATGGACAGAGGAAACTTATTTAAATATGGAAAAGAAAATGGCTATGTAAAAAGTAAAACAACACCATTTGAAACCATATGGAGAGAAGTGTTGCAATCTGTGAGCACATAAAACTGCTGTCATTTCACAGAACCAGTTAAAGAGGGAGGAAAGGTGGGGCAGGATATTCTGAGTCGTAGTACTGGTCCATGTTTTTAAGTCTCAGTTAGCTGAAGGATGTTTTTCATGAAGATGAACTGGATATGAAGCTGTTAGATCTTTGTTCATTTATATTTTAATGAACATTAAGCAAGCAAACAATACATCAAGACACAATGGTGAGGTTGTTTGATAAATTTTTTCATCTTGTTGCTTCTTTTTTAGCCTCAGGTGCTTTAACTTTGCACTTTCCTATTGAGATTAATCAGTACATCAGTTTACATTTAGTAATACTTGTATTGTCTTGTTTCCGGCTCAGATTCCATTAATTCAGAGAAGATGCTGGGAATCGATGCAGAGGATGAGGATGATGAAAATTAAATCATTAATTTACTGAGTCTGTTTGTGCAGTTATAATAATGAATTATAAAATAATAAATAAACCAATAAATAAAACACTTTCTATCAAACAAAGACAACAAAGCATTTCAGACTCAGTCTTTTATTTTTGTGTTTTCTTAAAAAAAAACAAAAAAAACATTTACAACTGAAATTACAGCCATATATAAATTACAACAGCAAACACAATCATCTATATTAAATACACTCCTCCGCTCTGCGCTGACTGTAACCACTCAACTAATAAAACAACAAAGTGAGGTCAAACTCCCGTAATTTGAGCTCTGAACAAACTGTAGTCTGGTGCATTAAAATATACAGTGTGATGTTTTCTCTCTGTGATGCTGAGGGGAAAAGACGGCTTCATTAGTCTGTTTGATCTGCAGCTCTTCTTCCCTCCTCAGCAGACTGAAACTCTCACCTTGAAATAAAACTGGAAACATCCATATTTTCATGTAAAATGAGTTTGCAGGTAGATTTTATTTCTTTCGTTTTTGCTCCAGGGCACTTCTACTGCAGCAGGGATCGAACCTGCGACAATTCAGTTTGCACACAGATCATAATCTTATTATGGTTTAAATCACTGAACCATGTGATATACAGAATAAAATCTGTTCAAATCAGGAGTAAATTTTAACTGATCAATTGCAGAGGTGATGTCGATCAATGATTTCTCTCATCTGTGCAGTTCGCTCAGATAACCTGATAATAATCCTCATCTGACTCTCTGGTGGCTGAATGTCTCACTGATGTAAAATGTACTGTGGGTGTGGTCACTACATTGTGTTGAGACAGAACTCAAAGCAAATTTCAGACATTTTTGGTTTGCATACAAAATAAATGGAAAAATGCAAATATCCAAAAGCAAATGCAAATTAATTTAGAGTTCGATTTGAGGTGACGATGTGTCCATGTGGACAGGGACTAGAGCAAAAAAAAAAAAAAAATTGTGGAAAACACCAGAACGAACCGGAGTCTCTGGTGGGTTCTGAGATCAGTCCGAGTCCGAGCTGAATGCCATCAGTAAATGATGGTGATTAAACAGAGTTAACACTCCAGTTGTCACTGTCAAAAGCCAAAAATTTGATTCAAATTCTGTCTTAGCACAACTACGACACTATTTTTTATCATCTTTAACACAATCTTTTTATTTTCACCAACGTAAGTTCTGTAAATTTAATTTAATTTGCTGTTTTTTTTTCAGAAATCTTGTATCCATTTCACTCTTCGAGTCATGTGAAGAACCACACAGAATTATTACTCATGTAAACCGTTATTGCTTTTGTGTTTTTTAATTTATTTTATTTCTATTGATTTCTTCACATTTATTTTGACATTGACGCTTTAAAAAAAGATTTTGTCTTTCGACTCTTATCAGGTTTCTGTTACCACACCTGTCAGACACAGATGTTCAGCCTGATGTGAAGATACTCTCTCAGCTTTTTCTTTGCTGGTCAGTTCACCAGTTTCAGAAACATTAATATTGTCATTTTGTTGTGTGACACATTGTAGATATTGTATCTAAAAGGATGAAATTATTCCCTCCATATTGTTAGTTATGATACGACTTCAGAGTTCAGAGGTCGCCAAGAGTCAACAGCCTATAACTGCATGTGTCAGTTCACCAAACTCCACATGAAAAAGTGAATTCAGAAATAAATAAAATGCAGATGTAAACGTGCGAGTTCACATCCAAGCAGCCTCAACTGTGATACCAGCTGCTGCCGATGTGCCCTGGAGCAAATGGTTAGTGGAGCTGCTGCTGGGCTGCACGGGTCAGCTGACACACTGGATGTCTCCTGGTCGGTCAGACAGACAGACAGACAGACAGACAGACAGAGACAGACAGAGAGACAGACAGACAGACAGAAACGAGTGGCTTTCTGCTGAGCGTCTGGTTTGAGATGATGACACAACAAAAATCAGTGTTTAGGGGAATAAACATGACTCAGGTCTTCATGTTCACGACGTTAAATGTGTATTTGTTCATTCACTATTAAAACTATTCAGACTCAGGAAAACAGTTGTCAGTCAGAACAGCAACAGAAAAATGTGAGAGCAGCAGACAGAGATCCAGAGTTCTGGATCTGATGAAACTGTCTGGCCTGTAAAAATGATGCGAAAGAAATATTCAGGATGTTTAGATGTCCTTTCAGTTCTGACCTCACCGACCTTTGTCGCTCTGTGAAGGTGAACGTATTATCTAACTGAATTTAAGTGAATCTTTTCGAGAGCTACAGTTCTGGATTATCCTGAACAGTTTCCTGTTTGTTTGTTTTTTTTTTCCTGATTTGAGGAATGAGAGGCAGAGCCTTTCCAGTTCCAACGTGACTTTAACACTGTCCAACAAGTCAGTGTTTTATATGAAAACTTTGCTCTTCAGAAGTTTGAGTGACCTTCCTGACCTTAATCCCTTTTAAAAACCTAACCACACTGTCATCATACTGGCAACCAGACAAACACACAGACAAAGAGATGATAACATCTTTTTCTTGATCAGGTAAATCTGACATCCTGTAACTCTGCAATTAAAACTTTCCCTCCATCAGTCCTCAGAAGATTCTCAGCCAGTACTAACCACAAGGAAAAAACTAAGTTCACACCGACACAGCCGATTCCTCTGGACATGCACAAACCCGAATTTCTAAACATTTTCTTGCCTGCAGAAGATGCACGACGGCACGTTACAGACTGATGCATAGATTGCTGCGGAGCACGTTCCACCCTGTCTGCTGCTGCATCAACTTTCAGGATCTTTAATGGAGACAAAGAGCGCCTGGTTGCACACCAACAAGGCAAACAGAGGTGCAGAGGACAGGAAGGAGTGTGACACTCTGACGTCCACCAGGAGGAAGCAGAGAGGTGAAGAATACAAGCAGGTGAAGGCAGCAGGGATCCTGGGTTTGCCGTTTCCCCATCAAAGGGCTGAACGTTTTGTTCCTGGGGTGGATCAGCATTCGAGAGGCGGGTGGAAGCTTCGTCTGCAGTCGATGGCTTTGGGGCTGGGAGGCAGAAGTCGCTTCTTTCGGAGCTCCTCGCGACCCAGAGTGCTGCTGAGCCGAGAGTACGCCGCCTTGTACTTCTTATCAAACGCAGCTGCAGAGAGAGAGAGAGAGAGACAGAGAGAGAGACAGAGAGAGAGAGAGAGAGAGAGAGAGAGAGAGAGAGACAGAGAGAGAGACACAGAGACAGACAGAGAGAGAGAGACAGAGAGAGAGACAGAGAGAGAGACACAGAGACAGACAGAGAGAGAGACAGAGAGAGAGACACAGAGACAGACAGAGAGAGAGACAGACAGAGAGAGAGACAGAGAGAGACAGAGAGAGAGAGAGAGAGACACAGAGAGAGAGAGAGAGAGACAGAGAGAGAGACACAGAGACAGACAGAGAGAGAGACAGAGAGAGAGACAGAGACAGACAGAGAGAGAGACAGAGAGAGACAGAGAGAGAGACACAGAGACAGACAGAGAGAGAGACAGAGAGAGACAGAGAGAGAGACACAGAGACAGACAGACAGAGAGAGAGACAGAGAGAGAGAGAGAGAGACAGAGAGAGAGACAGAGAGAGAGAGACAGAGAGAGAGACAGATAGAGAGACAGAGAGAGACAGAGAGAGAGAGAGAGAGAGACACAGAGACAGACAGATAGAGAGAGAGAGAGAGAGACAGAGAGAGAGACAGAGAGAGAGACAGATAGAGAGAGAGGGATTATTATCAAGTTCATCTTTGTCTCTACATACTGCATGTTTCTGTTGTTGTGGTATCAGTTGTGTCAATCACACAGCAACCACCACAGCCCAGTGTTTCAGTCAATGCTCCCTTTACATGAGCACTTGAACTTCTAGAGAAAAACTGCACCTTCAGTGGTGACAGTGTGAACGGAGATTCTGGTATTTATTCAACAAAATCTGCTACCTGAGATTTAAAAAAAAATAAACCGCAGAGAGTAACAACACAGGGGAAACATATATAATAATAATAATAATACATTTTATTTAAAGGCGCCTTTCTTGGCATAGGGCTGCAACTAAAGATTATTTTCATTGCTTTAATCTGCAGATAATTTTCTCAATTACATGATTTGTTGTTTTGTATATAAACTGTTAAAAAATAGTGAAAAATTATTATTTCTCACATCCTAAGGTGACAATGTAAAAAGTCTTGTTTTGTTCAACCAACAGTCTGAACCTAGAAACATAAAGTTTATGATCATGTATGACAAAGAACGGAATCACATCTTCACATTTAAGAAACTGGAACCAGAAAATGTTACAGCTCCTCCAGTGTAAAGGTCTCTGTCCATGTGTAGTGTGATTATAGATCAGGTCTAGCTTCTATATTAATACTGTGAAAGTATCGAGGCCTCAGTCCACAGAGAAATGCACACAGCCTGTATTCAGAAACTGAGCCTTAAAACCAGCCGTCAGGACTTCTGGAACTTTGTGATGTCACAACAAAGCAGTCACCAAGCCCCGCCCACCTGGACCCAACATCCAAACCTTGCAGGATTTGGTTTATCACATTGCTACTGGAACAAAGGCCTGTCATTAAACCGTGTTAACACCACGACAGAAATGCCAATATTGATTAATGCTAATATAACTGGATTAACTGTTCAGCTGCAGCTTCCACTTTGGCTGGGTGGAAAAATGAATGAATATGATAATGAATTAATAATTAAAGTGGAAAACTTTGTTCAGTTTGGCAGAATAGGATAATATGTTTTGAGATGTGTGCCCAGTAACTGATGAAGATGATGGTGAGAGATGAACCCAGTCTCCATTATAAAAAGTCTGATGCAGTACCATGTGATTTATCTGTTTATCTGTTTAGACAGAAACTGATTCTGTTCTGTGGTATGATCCATATTACCTGAGCAGGTGTGGTTTAAACCTGTCCGCTGTGATCACTGTGGCGTCATTACCCTTAAACTACCCAGAAACCTTCAGTCCGTTTTCTACCTTATCACATTTCACCACATAGATCTGTTGTAGTCAGTCTTACCAACGTGGTCTTTGCCCATAGCTGCCAGAGTGAGGAAGAGGAACTCTCTGTACAAACTCCTGTCAGACAGAAAACAAACACAAAGTTCACTCTGATTCACAGACAAGCCACACACAGCTACAGTCGCTTACAGTTTGTAATACTGTCTTTAAATTCTGACACTAAGAATCCTCTCTGTCAACATCTGTGAGCTCACCTCTGTATTCTGGGCGACCCTGGCTGTTTGGCCAGCGTATCCAAGAAGAGCGTGACGGCTTTGTGCACCTCATTCATGCCGACCCAGCGCAGCACCTCCTCCAGGAAGGACAGGGTGAATGGGTGGTTGTGTCTCCTCCAGCTGTAGCCTCTCATCGGGATGCCACCTGGAGGACGGAGCAGCAACAGAGGACAGAAATCAGACTGATATAATTGACATTCAGCGATTCAGCAGTGTTAGCGATGTTAGCGCTGCTGATCCTGACAGCACCTGAATTTGAACAAATTAAAAAAAGCAAATCAGAATCAGACATATCAGAATCAGTTTCAGTTCATCAGTTACAGTACAGTCTCTGTGTCAGTGCGTGTAAGCTGCGTCTTTCTCTTACTGTGGATCCTCCAGAGGATGTAGAGGGGGGGCCACTGGTCTGTGTCGGGAGTCAGGGTGTCCCAGAGGAGCCTCACCCTCACTGCTGAGCTCTCCGACTGGGAAACACAACACATATGATTAGAGAAAGAGAAGCCGTAGGATCAGTGTGTCAGTTGTCTTTCATTTCACTCTGCCTTAACTTTAAAGAGTTGTCATATCTGGATATTATTCTACTGAATTATCAAACGGACATTTAATTAATGTGGATATTCAGCTTTTTATATTTATTGCAAATGTTCAGTGAAATGATCTCCACTTTTCAGTAAAGCTCCGTCTCCAGATTCTGGATCTTCGTGTTATATAATGATGTGTTTCTGTGCAGCAGCCACCTCACTGGTTTACACAGACATTACTAAGATCCTTTCAAACTGCTGTTCAACCTGATCAGCCACTGATCTTAAAATGTGACAGATTTTTGCAGAAGCTGAACCACACAGTCTTCAAAAAGAAATCAATAAGGAGTATTGATAACCTAGTCGTAGCCAGTATTGTAGAGAGTCCAGGACTCGTGACTCGGCTTGGACTTGAGCACTGATGACTTGGACTAGGGTTCAGATAATGGGGACTTAACTCTGACAGGTAATGAGACGATAACCAGTCCGACCTCTCAGAACAATAAACAACACAAACTGTCCAGAAATCTGGATAAATATTTAAGGTCTGTGATCGAACTCAAAATAAAGTTTTCTCCCTTCATCTTGTGACACTGTGTACTATAATGAATTCTACTTTATACAACTAAAGACTGTAGCGTCGGACTGCTTGTTACCTGTGTGAACTGGCTGACCAGTGATGAGGCTCTGACCAGCTGGAGCAGGTTACTGGGCAGACCGAGACGCTGGAAGTACCAGACCAGATTCCAGAAGATGATGGAGTGGCTGTCCAGGAACTGAGGCTGAGCCAGGACTGCCTCGCCCTCGTTCTCCAGCAGACTCTCCAGCTCCTTCCTCAGAACCAGAGGACTAAGGTAAGCCACCGTCACCTGAGGAGCCCCACCCACTGACGAACCCTGAGGGGGGAGAGAGAGAGAGAGAGACCGTCGAGTGAGGCTGGATGGAGGGACGGGAAGAGGAGAAGAAAATGCAAACAAGACAACTTTCCAAATGTTACCGTGGTGGTTCTGCTGTTCTCTGAGTAGCTGCTGGTTTCAGAGCTGGAGTCCTCGCTCAGACCGTTACACTGGTGTCGCAGGGAGGCCTCCTGACCACTGGGGGGCCTCACCGCACTCTCCACTTCATCCTCTGCGTTCCAGTTGCTGTGCTCCGCACTGGGGACAGAGAGGAAGAGTTAACATCTTGTCCACGGATGAATGAGTGTTGTTATTAGATTTTCATCACTAACGTTTGTCCTGAGGATGGCGCCAAAGAGAAACACAAGACCAGGTGTCCGCCCACTGAACCCTCTTATGGACTCAGACTTGCAGACATACCTTGCTTTGTGGATTTGGATCTCGACTTTCCTAATTTTACTGGCTAGCCATTTATTCCGCTTGAAAGTTAGAATAATAAATTTGTGTTTCGTTTTATAGCTGCTCCTTCTGTGATGATCGGAGTCTTTCTGGGTCAGGCTGCGTCACACAACCCTGCAATACTGAGAGCGACCATTAGACCAAAATCACCTCACAGTCTGGTACTGGTTCTGGGGCTTGGTCTGTACGACTTTCAGCCAGAAGGACTGAGAGTCCAAGAGAGTGAACTTTCCAAATGTAAAACCTGAACCACTGACAGAGAAAGGTTCTGTACCTGCTGACAGGTCCGAGGTCACAGATCTCAGCGTTGAGGAAGGGGACGAAAGAGGCGGAGCAGAACGGACAGGACGAGTTCAGGTTGGAGTCGTCTGACGTCCAACCGGCCATGATCTCCTCATCATAAACCAGAGAGTTACAGCTGCGACACAGAGAGCAGCTGGACATCGACACCTGGACACACAGAGAGGGGAGGGAGGGGTCAGAGTGAACACAGCTGGAGGTCGACACCTGGACACAGATAATAATATTTACCTCCAGCCCGGCCCCCTCCTGATTGGCGTCCCAGGACCTGCGCAGAGGATACGCTGGACTGGGCGTGTCTGTCAAGTCCAGGTCACTTCCTACAGACAACGAACTCTGAGAAGAGAAAACATGGAGCCTGATCATTCAACAAATAACTGAACGTCACCACAGAAGAAAAGTACGGGACAAAAATGATCTGTTGAACATAAGAATCATGATTCTTATCTTCTCAGAGAGGAGTTGATGGTAAATGAGAGAACCAAACTTCAGAGTGAAGCTGATCTGGGTACAGACCTCTGAGGTAGCGCTGACCAGCCTGTCCTTGGCTTTCAGCAGTGTCTCTGCCACCTGAGCTTTCCTGGACTGTCTCTGCTCAGACACTCTTCGTCCAATCCCTCCTCCCCCTCCTCCACCCGGCCGTCGGTCGTCCACGCTGGCGGCTCGTCGCACAGACACTCGGTGTCTGGTTGGGGTGAGGAGCTGCTGGAGTTTCCCTGCCAGACCTCCTCGGTTCGGGGAAGATACATGGTTGTAGTTCTCATCTACAGCCTTGTTCCTGCCAGCTGAGTCACGTGCTGCCGCAGGTCTGGAGGTCAGGTAAGGAAACAGAGGTTAATTTAAAGGAATAATTGAATCGAGTGAATCCGGTACTGATGCGACTCTCCGTCCTAACCGACCTGCCATCTCTCTCCGCAGGCTGACAGCTGCAGTCCGGCTCAGAGTTGGCCGACTCGGCACACTCTTTGTAGAAGTTGGAGAGGCAGACCTGACTCCGCCGAACCAGAACAGCACCGGGTGGCGCCGGAGGAGGGGTGGAGGTGTCTCTTAGTCCCAGGGGAGGTTTATGGGAGATGGCGTCACCGCAGCCGTTGGTCCCAGTGGTATGGACCACGGTCTTCTTACAGAGTTTGACCTCTGAGGGACAGAAAGGAGACATTTTTATCTGCAGCTACTTGGTGGCGTTTGTGCAGCTGATGTTTTGATATGAGGCCATAAGATGTTTAAGGTTATAATGAATGTTGCACTTGGGGTTTGAGACTTGGAAAAGGTTGCTGTGTCGTTTAGGTATTGGGGTTAATAAAAATAACTTACTGTACTTTAACTTGAATCTTTTAAACACCTTGCAAATACAAATAATAGTAAGACAGACTCCTTCATTTGTTTCCAGGTCAAAGATTACACATTACACCTGAGCAAAATCCCAGAAAACAGCTCAGGATGAAAAAACCCAAGCAACAGCCATCACACATAAAAATATCGATAAATATTGATCAGTTATCAATAAAGATAACGTGGAGAAAAAAAGAGAAAAGGTTTATTTCTTACTGTCAGTTGTTTTCATGCTGTTTAGACTGTTGCTCTTCAACAGGGGGCCGGTCAGCGACTCATGACTGGAGCTTTCAGACAGACCGCTCCAACTGGACTGACGAATCAGAGTGGACTGGGGGCGGAGCCTCTGATCAGGGTCCACCATTGCGTCTTATAAATATGAAAAACAATAATCAGAATTATAATGTCATCCTTTTTAAACACTTCTGGATTTATTTGGTTAACAAAAAATCATTAATGCCGTGTACCATGAAAAAGTCACTCCTGCTGAACTCCATTATAAACTCACTGTTGCCATCTTAGCTTCAGAATTTGTTAAAAATTCATGGACAGATGTCACTGATGCTAAATTTAGCAAAAAATTATTCATTAAAATTTTTCTGACCTCCCTGTGACCCCACTGAGCCGCTCTTCTGACGCCTTTTGACTGGCTGTCTGAACTGGGCCACGGCCAACAGGACGTTCCTCAGCTTGGCCCAGCGAAGACGCCCACCCTGATTGGTGGAGGGCCACTTGCTCTCCAGCACTGCCTGAGGACAGAGGACATCTGATCAATTCACATTTCTCTCTTTATCACTGTGAACATGTATCATTGAACATTCTTGACTCAGCCAAGTTCTACGATTCACAATCATCTCAGAGTGTGAATGACTCCATAGAAGAGGGAGTGACCTGTTCACACTTCCTAGAAATGGGAACTAATTTTATTTTGGGTCGAAATGCCCTGAACGGTTCAAAGAGAGGTGTGTGAACTGGGACCTGCTCCATGTCGGTGAAGTGATGGGGTCAACTGTCAGAGTTAAAACGAACTCACAGACTCACATCAGTGCTATCGAGTCTCCAAACGACCGACTTTCAGATCATCAGAGGTTTGATTTGTTGACAGAAAATTAATCAGCAGCTACTATGACCACAGATTTAACTCTCTCTGTTTTATATCATGTAAACTGAATATGTGGGTCAGATTAAACATAAGGAGACGTCTCAGGGAAACTGTGAAAGACTTTCTGATTGATTAAAAAAAATAAACAACTAAAACAAGCCAAAAAACATCTGATTTTATACCGTGCATTCAAAGATGTGTGTGTGTGTGTATGTGTGTGTGTGTGTGTGTGTGTGTGTGGTGAGACCTTGTTGTAGTAGCCATAGGTGATGGTGTTTGGTGTGATTCCCGCCTTTTTCATCTCCAGCAGGACTCGAACAGCGAGGACCGGCTGACCGTACAGACCGCACAACTGCATCAGGATCCGGTAACACACCTGAAACAAACAAACACACACACACACACACACACACACACACACACACACACACACACACACACACACACACACACACACACACACACACACACACACTGTTACGGATCTACTTTTCCTCTGAGGTTGTTGGTTGTTGTCGATGTCGGCGATCCAGGCACAAGAGACAGCAAGTAATTTAATTTTATTTGTATTTTATTTAAATTGAATCTTTTCTGCTTTTTGTTTAACATAATTTTCTGTGTTTGGTCATTACACACAGAACTGTACAAATGTTTAATCAGGAGGCGTCTGATTGGTCCAGATTCATCCTGCAGCAGGACAACCAGTCCAAACACACACAGTCATAGAGAAGTGTCTTCAGAGACAAGAAGAACCAGGAGTCCTGCACAACCCACCTGACAAGAACCTGAAGAACCATGTGCAGGTGTACTGAGGAGAGCTGGTGCTTGTTTAAAGGTAAAGGGCGTCACAGCAAATTTACATACAGTCCTAAAATACAATCAAGATCACCATAGCAGTGATCTCCAACCCTGTCAGTCTCACCTCGTCCGGCAGCACCACCTTGCGGTTCTCCATGTGTTTGAGGACGTCGTATGCCGTGTGCAGGGCGCGGACCTTGGCACTCTCTGCCCGAACGAAGGTGGGCAGGTAGATGAACCAGAGGCCGTAACAGTGACCCAGCAGGCACTTAGACCACATGTCCGGGACTGCAGAGTATTTCTGAGCTCGCTTCTGGGCCAACTTGATCTCCTGGTGGGGAGAAATTTAAGACATCAGATTATCAGAATCAGAAATACTTTATTAATCCTCTGCGGGAAATTGTTAGATTAGACACTATAAACACTTGAGCTTTATCATACAAAGTCAAAATGTACAGGTTTTATCAGATATAATGTTGTGAAAAAATGCAGATGGGAGGAGGAGTCACTGTTTTATGTAAATACATCACAAAAATTGATCACAGGGGACGCTAGCTAGCAGCGACATGTCAAGATGTAGTCTTTTGGGCTAGGCTTGGAAAGAACATTTATAAAATACTTTTCCTCTCCTTTCTGGCTTCCCTGGTGTAAGAGTGTGTCTAAAATGCCCAAGTCCCTAAAAATAATAGTGTTGTGTTCTGAGTGAGACATAAAGCTGCCCAAACATGCCAAAGAATCAGAAGCCGAGGTCAGGCCCTGACGCCTCAGACTCACCCGAAGCAGATCTGCCTGGAAGAACAGAGGCAATGTCGCATGCCGACGCAATCACGGCCGCCTTAAAGCGGACTGATCAGTGTGTGCTAACCAAGATTGATTCTTCTGTGATAGCAGCTGCAGCTGTATTGCACAAAACAATAGACAACTTGTCGAATGACTTGAGGAGATTTGGAGTTCCGACAACGGAGAGATAACTGCAGGCTAATCGGCGTGGAGGAAGGATTTGGAAACATGCGACCGGAGAAAGCCATAGCCCAACTGGTGCAGGAGACACAGGGTCTAGACCCTGATGCTTGACCGGGCACATAGGAACCTACGGCCGAGACCAAAAGATGGGGAGACCCCGAGGCCAATAATCATTAAATTCCATTACTTTCAGGAGAAAGTGGATGTTCTCCAAAAGGCCATGGGCCCATCTTCCACAATGGCAAGCGTTTTCACATCTACCCAGAGTACTTGGCCTCGGTCAGGAAAAGGAGAGCAGCCTTCACCGAAGTCTGGGGATTACTTCGCCAATGTCCAGGTGTGAAATGTGGTCTCTTATATCCAGCTACACTTAAGATCACCACCTCAGCTGGTGAGCAAACATCTTTTGAGGACCCAACCAAGGCAAGGCATTATACTGAGGCCAATCTGCAACCGCGGTGGATGGAGGGAGAGTGAAAGTCAACAATAGGGGTAATAACAGGTACTGTTGATACTACATGCTAATCCTACAGCCCATGGCACAGGCTGGCCGAATACTTGACTGTTTAATACACTACAGGTGGGTGCGCTTTATGTATGGACTATGAACGAAACTGAGTGAGTTTGCAGCCATTTCGGAAAGATGGATATGACAACAAAGACAGTACTTTGTGGTTTGAAGAGCCACGATGGACAAACATGTAGCAAAATCACACTAGGACATGGTGGTTGATAAGTAAAGTAAAGTGCAGGGAACAAGACTTTAAGCGAACACTTTAACTTGACCTGGAATAAAATCTTTCTTTATGAAATCTACTTCATCCACAGTTACAATGCTACATTTTAAACCAAATGGCGACCTATTGTTGTTAAAGTTTTATTTTTCCCTGATTATTTATATCCCTCGACAAGGTTTGGAATAGGACCTGTGTTTTGTAATTGGATTAAAGTTTTATATTCAGCACCTATGGCCGCTGTTCGAACAAAGGTTTTTGTCTCTGAATATTTTATGCTACATAGAGGCACAAGGCAGGTTTGCTGTCTGTCACCCTTTTTGTTTGACATCGTAGTTTTTTTTTTTAACTATCATTGTAATCTTACTATTTATTGTATTTATTTACTGTTATGTATTTATATATCTATTTTTTGTATGTGTGTCTGGGGAGGCCGCCTGGATGGGGTTGGGGGCTTACAACTTTCGTCATGAATGCTTAACCACTTATATTGTTGTTAGTTTGAGACGTAAAACTGATTAAAAAAAATAAAAATACATTATACATTTTTTTTTCAACTGGACGTCCTGACATTTTTATGTGGGGTTGGTTTGGTTTCATTTTGTCATAAAATAACTCTCACATAAATATTCATAAAAGAAAAAATAAAACTGTAGATACAACAGGAAACATTTGTATAAGAAGCACAACAGAGACGAGACAAAACAAACCTGAAGCAGTACTGAAAGCAAACAAGACAATGTATAAAACTGAAGCGGGATAAAAGGATAAAAACACTACAGGTCAAAATAATGTATTTCCATAGTGTCCTGGCTGAATCATGGTTGAATCATGGTGACTGCTACACAACTGCTCAAAAGCTGTAACATGCAGATAAAGATTACATGCACTCAGACATATCTCCTCCATCCATGCATGTCTTAAACAGTTTTTACACCCATCTTTAGAAAAATGGCCTCCACCCACTGAAAGCATCTAAATCTATGGCGCTTTAGAAGCAACATATATTTAAAGTTTGAACTGAATTTTGAATAAACCTACTGTTGTATATTTATAAACATGAACATGCAGCTCGATATTGGATCCTTGTCAGATTTGTTTCACCATTTCAATAAGTTAAAATGTGTTGATTTTGTCATAATCAAAGATGTAACAAATCATGTCATTCTGTACACCTGTAAGCAGTTGTTTAAAAAGACCACAGTAACAGACAGAGACACCACGCACAGTCACTTCTTGGTTGTATCGGAGCCATAGATAACTTTTTCTTGCAATAGACAAACTTTTTTTTTCATCTTCTGTTTCAGGGATCTGAAACTATAACACAGTCTGTGGCTTTTAAATATTGGATGATCAGTGAAATATTGATAATGACTCATTAAAATGATATGATACAGTGAAGTTCAATGAGGTTCCTCCTCTTTTTCTTCATTCAGGGAAAAGTGGGTCAGACTTTTCTCTCCTGGTACCAGGTCTCGTTTTTCCTGCATCTAGAGTCCGTATACGTCACTGCATGGAGCATTAGGATGATTCCTCTGTATGGCGCTAAAAGCTAAAAGCTAAAAGCTAAAAGACTTGACTGACCACCATGACTCAATGAATGTAACTGACGGTTCAAACTCTGAGTGGATCAGGATCACACCCGATCCGCTCACTAAGGTCAGTATCAGCACTAGTACGGTGGGTTTTCTTAGACTTTGATCCTGAGGTCTGTACGCAGACACATGCATCAGCACACGCATCAGCACACGCTAAACTTCTACTGTGGAAGTCCTGAACACTTTTTCTGGACTCAATCCTGATCCCAGTCCTTGATGAGTGTCTGATTAGCTTTTATGTCCCACACAGTCTCTAGCAGGGCTGGGACGTGTTGAGTACTTTCAATGTGAGAAGTGATGAAAATAAAATGTCTGGTTCCAGCTTAAGGTGTGCATGTTTTTAAATGTTGTGTGTTGTTATACCTGTTTTGTGCGTCGGGGGGCGGGGCTGCTGGGGGCGCTGCCTTTAGCTGGGACACGGAGCTGGTCCTGTGGCTGGTCGAAGAGGTCTGGCTTTAGGGTGGGGAAGGTCTCGTAACTGGGCACATGAGAGGAAAAACAATATCCTGTTGGCCTGTCATACTAACACGAGAGAGGGGCGGAGTCAGGCAGAGTGAAGCTGTACCTGTAGAGGGCGGGACACTCTGACCCATCAGGTTCCTGTGGTTCCTCAGGAGGCATGATGAAGACCGTGTGTTCGCCACTGTGAGTTTCATCCAGATCAATAAGCCTCACCTCCTCCGGCTTCTCCACGTCAACCTGGTAACAGATGTTATTTTAGCACTGATCAGGCTAATACCCGATCCTCTCACTAAGGTCAGTATCAGCACTGATACAATGGATTTTTTTAGACTTTGATTATTATCAATCAATAATGACAGTCTTTTTTCTTGGACTTTCCTTGCCGTTTTTGTTAAAATTTAATTTTCTGTTCCATTGTTTCACTAAATACAAGTTCAAAATGTGGTTAATTTCCACAGGAAACATCCATTTGGCATCATGTTAAACTTAAACAGAGCTGCTATAATTTTGATAATCTACAAATGTGAAAATGAGTTTTAGTTGTTTTTGCTTCGCAGTTTAACAGATTGTGAAGACACTGCAGTAGAAGCAGTAGGTGCGTTCTGACCTTCTGGACGCACTCGTCGAAGAACTCGAGGCAGGCGTGACGGTCGCTGACGAAGGAACACTCCTCGATAAACTGTGTGAACATCTGAGTCCTCGTCAGCTGGCCATAAAACTTCTGCTGCGTCCGGTCCCGAGACTTCAGGAAACCTGCAGGAGGAGGAGGAGGAGGAGGAGGAAGAGGGAGTACATTCATTCATTCACACAGAGTCTGAATCACATCATTCATAATCTGCGAGGTTTGATTCAGGTTGACGATGGCTGTTCTACCTGCTGTAAAGAAACTGTAAAGACTGAGGCAGTAGACTCAGTGATGACAGGAATGTAATAAGAAAGACATCTGCTGATCTTCCCGCATGCTATTAAAGGTTTTCCCATGTGAGTCAATGCTGGTTAGTTCCTGATGTTTTGGTCCTGATCATGACATCTGAGGATACTCATCGTCCCCAAAGGCTGTGTCACCATCAGGTCACAATTTCCATTTGTACACAAGAAATATCCAAACAGAGAGATATTTACTGATGGAATTCATGTTTCCCAGAGGCAGAACCCTTTCTGAAAATCCTTTTCAAGCTCCACTAGGAACAAGGCTGTAAGAACAGATAAAACAGAACTATGGTTTTGTTCTGTCGAACACTTCAGTTCTGTGGGTTCTGCAGAATTCAGCCTCTAGAGGACGCTAGTGAGGCTTCAAATGTTAAAAGCATTTATTCAGTCTCTCTGTGGTTAATAACTCTGGGTAATTTGATTAAAATATTTACAGATCATAGTAACATCTGACTTTTGGTAAATATACAAAAAATGACTTTTTTAAATATCTGAGCTTTCAGAAAAATATAAAAAAGTATTTAAACAAAAGAAGCCAAACTTCTCAAATTTAAACTGTTGTCTAAACACAAGCACAAGCAAGAATCGAAAACTTAAAAAATTATGATTCAAGAATAAGAAAAAAAAGTTAAAGAAAATCTGATCAGGTCTCAGAGTTTAGTATTTGGTGCTACACACACATTTTGCTCACTACTCAGTGTTTTCAGCTCTAAACAAACCAATTTATTTGTTTTTTAATTTCATCTCTGTCACACACACACACACACACACACACACACACACTCACACACACACACACTCACCCTGCAGGTTGAACAGGGAGCTGCAATCGGTGGTTGTGTCTGATGGAGCCTGTGTGATGGGCAGCAGGAAGGTGCGGTATCCTCGCAGCAGGCAGCTCATGAAGCGTAGAAACACTTCCTGGATCTCCAGCTCCAGCTGCTTCTGACGCCTGTAGATCTGATCGTAGTCGGTCAGCAGGAACTCCAGCGTCGCCTCCTCCTGGCCGGGCGTGCAAACTGCAAAAACCAGAAGAGATTTATCTAATGTGGTAACACATCTTCTTCCCTTCCCTTCTGTTTATTCAGCAGCCTCCACTGATGTGTGTCCACAGGAGGAGGTACAGATACATTAACAGTGATTTATATTAAATGTTTATACAGCTCATAAATGTAAAATATGGGAACTTAAAGAAAAGTGTTTCTTTTAATGTTTTCAAATGAGCAAAACAAAAACAAAAACACAGCACATAAGAGAGTAAAAGAGAAACTGTTGAGGCATGTTACACATTGAACAGCCTGTTGTCACAATACTGGATCGACAACATGTCAGTGGCACAGTGTCACTGTTTCTCTCTCCGGACCTCTGTGTAACTTTATTTTGAAAACCGCCATTGATCAAAGTCATGTGATTGACAGATAGGAGGCGTCACTCACTCTTCTCTAGGGTCTTGTGGAGATTGGTGAGGGTGTTGAACAGAATCTTGCCGTGCTTCCTGGGTAATGATCGCCATGACAACGGCTTCTTATCCTCTGACCTGAGACGTGAGCGAGAAATCATTATGGTTCAATAGCCTTCAGTCTTATTACAGTAAACAGCCATCGCTTCACAAAAATAATTCAAGGGTAATTTTACATGTATTTCCCTGTGTGTATAAACTGCTTTTATCTGACATGATGAATAATGTCACTGTAGAGCTTTAATGATTAGTCGATTAATTGTTGGAGTCATTTCTGAAGTTCAATTGTCAAAACGTCGTTGTTCCCGCTCCCCAGTAAGCATTTACTGTTTTTCTTTATTTTGCGTAATTGTAAACGACTGATCGAACTGAAAAAGACATCTTCACCAGGAAAATGTGTTATTTTCAGCCATTTTCTCACATTTTAAACACCCATCAATGAATGGAGAAACTCATCAACAGACTATTAATGGTTGTTGCATCCCTGTATCTGGATTCAGCTTGCAAACATTTTTTCTAAACAAGTTTCCTTCTTTAAAACATGAATTCAATTTGTGTTCTTTCTGTGAAATGACATGAAACTTGATGGACTCACTGAAAGATGGTGTTGGTGTCCAGGTCGACACACACCACGTCTGTGGGGGGGTCATACAGGTCGAAGTAGCTGGAGTGGACACCAACGATGAAGGGCATCGGCGCCAGCAGCACGTCAGCCATCTGCAGCGGACACAGAGGGATGTAGGGACAGAGCCAGCGCAGGGGGAAGCTCATCTGGAGACACGAGAGGGAGATTATTAAACAGATCCGTCCTCACTGCTCGGTCAGGTCGCCCCGTCTAAACCCACATGTGTCAACATCTGACAGTCATCATGGGCTGATACAGTTGTAGCTACCTACTTAACACCTATAAGCCCTCCAATAGTGTGTGTGAAGTGTGTGTGTTCAGTCTCACCGAGACGAGGGCCTCGCTGACGGAGGTGAGGACGTCGGGCCGCAGCGAGTGCAGCAGCAGCTTGTGTTCGGTGAGGACGGCGAGCAGCAGCGTGCAGGCATTCTCTGGGCCGAGGTTCTGCAGCAGCTTCAGGTAGCTTGCACCACTGTCACACACACACAGACACACACACACGGGGGTTATTATTAAATACACACATGTAAGTAGTATGGCTGTGTATTGCGAAGAATCTGGCGATACAATACAATTCCCGAAGGCGGGTGACAGTGCGATATATTGCGATATATTGGGATACGATAAGAAAGGTGATATATTGCGATTTTTTCTCCAAAATAGTCTATTTTTAGAAAAACTCTCATAGTATAAAGAACACACAATGTTATATGCATAAACAAATACAATTTATTTTTATGCATTCAGACTCAGAACAGTTGGAAACTTTTTTTGTGCTTTAGCTGGTGGCAAGCTACGGTGCTGCGTCTGAAAAAGGCTGTAACACATCTGATCCTGCCAGGTAGTCGCACCACTGTTGGCAATTTGAATGCCGAGATTCAGACTGTGTGCAAAGCACTTTACGTGAATCATGTCTGCAAGTCTAACCGTGACACCGGACATTAAAGCATTTCTAGCCGGCTGCTCTTTCCCTCCTGACGTCAGCAGAGCAGTAACAGGAAACAAATAACCTGAAGATTACCCGAGTTGATGTGAACTACGCTTGCAGTTACTGTAAGTAAGTGCAATAAAACCTTTGCAAGTAAAAAGCCAAAACTTTATCAGTACACCTGTTCAACCTGTATAACTGTGAACTGGTAGAAAGCGATATTTTAATCTGCTCTGTCTGCACCCAAAGCCCGTACGCTCGCGAGATCTCTTCGTCTAGTGAAAGGAGTGGAAGGAGGGGGAGAGTCAAATGGCTGAATGCCTGCTGCGAACCAGCGGTCGGAGGCTTAAATACAACACAAACCCACAGTCACAAAACCAGTCACCATTTAAAATATTGATAAAATATTGATAAAGCGCTTCGAAATATTGATACAGTATCACGTCATGAAATATTGTGATATTTCAGTGTATCCATATTTTCTTACACCCCGAGTAAATAGACAGTTTAATCATCATGTACCAAACCAGTTGTATTTGAACTTCACTTACAAAGAAAGGAAAGTCAAAGGAAAGGAGGATAACTCCAGTTTTCTTATTGATCTTTGATTAATCAGAATGGTCCTATGATTTCTGACTTATGTACTGTATATGTGTGCATATATGTATATATGTGTGTATGTGTGTATATATAGGTATAATAAATTATTTTGATTCTTGTCAATTATCTTATATGTATAATTCAATATTTTAAGTTATGTTTATTAAGTTTTATTTTTAATTATACAAGACTGTTTTGTTGTTTAGGATGGGAGGAAGGGGGGGGGTCTTAATGACTGTTTGAATGTTCTGTTTAGTCTGTAAAAGTATTGAGTAAATAAAGTGAGTCTAAATAAAAGCTGTGTAACTGAAACCTGAAAAAGCTTTATTTTCAACTTTATTTTGAAAAGCTTGCTTGGACATGTTACATGCAATTATGTTTTTAATTTTACTGTCAAGTCTCAGGCTTCAGTCTGAGATCTTGAGGTAAAAATGAACCTATCTGAATGTCTGAACTCTGAACTTGTATCTACAACTACAGTTTATTTTAACCTATACTTCTTCACATTTTGGCAAATGTGCACCATGAACAGTTATGCTGCATCATCTGCACAAAAACCACAGATATACAGATAAACAAAGCTGAGATGAGTCTGAGAGCTGAACATCCAGACTGTCAAGTTTTACCGCCTGTATATGTCGCATCAGGATGTAACCGTAGATTAAAACCTGAAACATTCTTGGTTGTTTGTCTGGGAGTGATGACCTTTAGCTCTTGTTCCTGTGGAGTCTGACAGTATTTTGAATGTAACATACTTCATAACATACATGATGCTGCAGTAGTAAACTGACCTGAGTGGGAGGGGGGAGGAGACCGGCTGGCAGAGCAGCAGGTTGTCATATGGAGAGAGCTGGAAGAAACGCACGGACAGGATATTTCAGAACACAGACAAAAGGAAACAAAAAAGAAAAAACAATCTTTTGAAATTTATAACCTCTGACTTCTTTTCATCAGTTATGACAAAATTTTACTCACTAACTTTAAAACTTTAATCCTGGATGGTGAATTTAAATTGAACAGGTAATGAGGGCAGTCAGCTCTGACTTCTGATTGGTTAAAATGTGTAACGAGTCGCTTGAGCTAGTCGTTAGTGTTATAACAAGTGTTATAACTGACCTGAATGATGGTCAAAATCTCTCTTTAAAATTCCAGGCATTGTTTGCACAGACAAGAAAAATCATCACAAAATGACCAACTCATTGTTCCCCATATTTTAGAAAGATTATCCACCATCACACCTGAGCCCCTGATGGATCATCATCAATTAACTTTAATGTCATTTTACTCAGGTACAGTGAAATCTTGTAGAACATCTCTCCTGTATGAATTATTCAAATTATTATTTGTCCTCTGATTGGGAATGATCAATAAATGGACTGATTCTGATTGGGCGTTGTTACCCAATTCAGTCTGCAACCAGATCCCCACCTACATCCTGTTGAAGGAGGATGTGAAAGGTTGAAGTCAAAATAAAAGAATTAATCCTGTGACATTTATTTTCTTCTTTTCTGAACTATATCTAACATTTCCTCTGTTTGAAAAAGATCCCTGTTTGTAAACATGGAAGAAAACTCATGAAAAATATGGAGTTTGTGAATGTGAACAGAAGATTTGTTGCTGTATTCACACAGTCTTACTGTATAACTATAGAAAACTAATTTTCTGTTTCACCAAGTTGAATTTCTCCTGCTTGCCATCACAAGCTTTCAAAACAAAATCAGACCTTTACTTGAACCAATAATGTCTGTGAAGAAACTACAGTGACGGGCTATTTTAGGAAATTATCTAGTCTGTTCTTTTAATGAAACTATAGATTTGTTTTTAAAGATTTATATCAGATTTATTGCTCGGCTCTGCACATTGGATTTACTGACAAGAAGCAACACCAGCCTATCCTTTAAGACATGTTCTTAATGCTACAATATAAAAGAAACCACCTCTGCTGTCTGAATGGTTCGGATATTATTTCTAAATAACCTGAGGAGGACCAGACGTCACATACTGCAGGTCTGAGTCCTGGTCTGTACCTGAACCAGGATGCGAGGCCGCTGGGGGGAAGGAAACGGGACGTTGTGCATGAAGCTGGAGATGTGTCTGCAGGAGGACAGGAAACATGAAGAGACATCAATTAGTATCAATTAAACCAAGTATCTGACTACAATCCAAAACTGTTATAATCTTGGAAAATAACAAAGGAAGGTGATTAATGTTTAATCATCTATTCTACCTCAAGATCTTTAAATATGAAAACATCTCCATTGAAACAAAGATTCTGTTATTACTAACAATTAAAACGTTTATGCAAAGAATTCAGTCCAAATGTCTCATTACAAAGAGTTCAATTTAAGGCCGATAAATACGTCCTTAATACAACTGCCTTAGATCTGATTTAGTGTTAAAACAAAAAACAATGGAACCGAAAGGTGCACTGACTTTTCCAGTGGCAGGACATGGGGCCCGGAGATGGAGTATCTGTAGACAAAGGTGAGAAACTTCTGAAAGACGGTGAAGAAGGGCCAGTGGGAGAGGACGCAGATGCTCTTCTTCACCTGAAGGCTACGGTTGGTGATCGGCCGCCGGTCGACCACGCTGAGCAGGCCGAGCCTCACGCACTGCCGCTCCGACAGCAGCTCCCTGGGGAAGGACTCGTAGAACTGGATGGCTGCTCCGTACACCTGCAGGAAGAGCAGAGCATTTATCAATAAGCTGTGGTGGAAACATCTTTATTTATTTAGCAAAAAAACATCAAACATGATTTTACAGATTCTCAAATGTGAGGCTTTATATCACAAGCAAAACATTTGTCTCTGGGGTTTGGACAGTTGCTTTGAAGACATCATCTTTCACTATTCCTAATATTTTACAGACTACACTCCATCAACAGCTGCAGCTGTTGAAGAAAATACAGATGTTTAAATTTCCATTTTTTTTTTGGAGTAATTTAAAGACCTCTCGTCAACATGGATGGAAAAAACAAAACCAAACTTCTCTGTTCTCGTGAACATTTTGTATTAGATTAAAGGAATAATGAACTCATTTAGTGCAGCTGCCAACATATTATCTCTTTGTCAATGAGTCAGTGGAAAAACTGTCAAATTTACCGCTTCAACTAATTAATCTTGTGGTTATTTTCTCAATTCAATCAATGAATCGTTTGGTTTATAAAATGTATATTTTCCTAGAGCTGAAGGTGATGTCTGACTGTGTGAACAAAACGCCCATGAATGAATAAGTGAGTGCGTGTGTTTTTTGTTGCTCCGCCCACCTTGTCCCCGCAGGCGGAGGTGAGGACGAAGGTGGAGAAGACGGGCAGCTGATACTTTGTGTTCAGAGGCCAGCTCTCCACGGTGACGCCCATCGGGAGACAGAAGACCGGCACCGACTCCGGCAGAGGAAATGCCTCCAAGTCGTCCTCCGGGTACCGGCTGATCAGACCTGTAGCACAAAGCAATCAGTCTGGGGCCGGGCAATTCATCGAACTTTACTTTCCAACGATTATAAAAACAAGATAATCGAGAAAACACCATCATTGTTTCACAACAAATTTCATCACCGCAACAAAAATCATCTTATTGTCTGTGGAGACAACTGATCGTGCTTCGGTCTTTTTCATGTAAGGACAGAAAGTGATCACGAGTGATCTCTGGACACATCCAGTTAAGGTCCGTCACATAAAGACGGAGAAATGAACAGTTTTCTACCAACAAGCTCGTAGCTCATCCGTCGTTGCTTTAGGTGTTTTGTCTGCTGCAGCCTGGAGCCCACACACAGAGATAACTACATTATACGAACATGGGTTACTGATGAAAACTGACCATTATCCAGCTGATTGTTCTGGATGTGTTTGAAATGGACAGAGCATCATCTGGGGCAGGGGGTTCAGATATCTTTAACTTATATTGTGTAGATCAGCTTTTTGTTTTCGAAAGTCTATGAGAAACCGTGTTAAATAATCGTGATCTCAATATTTAACAGAATAATCATGATTATGATTTTTGCCATAATCAAGCAGCCCTAAATCAGTCTGTGTATTATTACTTTGTTTAATCCCCTCAGTCTGTACAGGGATAAGATCCTTTCTATGGGACACAAGGCTGTTATTATATTATGAAGCTCACTCGTCTCTGTTATGATTGATTCAAATCAAACCTTCCTCCAAACGTTTCACACGAGTCAGGTGTCACAGGTTGTGTGAATCACCTGACTTGCTTCTTTCAGCCTTGGAAACTCTTCCTCTTGAGCTACCTGACTGTAGCTCTGTCACAGACCGTCCGTCCTCATAACCCCTGAGCAGAGATGCTGACTAACTGGGACCATTTTGTCCAGATAAAATTAATTTAATATCAGGGATAATGGGCTTGATGATTATTCCTGAAGGTTTGTTTACCTCCTGAAGATTTTTATGGTTGTACGTAAAGAAGCTGTTGCCAAAGAAAGTCAGTGAAAAGCACTGCATGAAGTGGGAATGTTACTCATGAGAACCAGGTGCTGATTATTGCTTTTCTTCTTCTCTTTTTTTTGTCGTTAACATTAGGCGATAACGCTCAAACTCCCGTGTGATGTAATGAACCTGTGTGTCTGTCTCTGATTCGAGAAGTCCACGATCAGAAGTGAGGAAACATCAAAAGTTAGAGATAAAAGAAAAGTACAAGGAGCGACTCAGTTTAGAATCACTAGAATAATTATTGTGAAGTGGGTCCATTACATTCGGACTTGAGCTAAGATTGCACTCATCATCTCTGTGGTAGAGACTTGACCATAGCGATGAGACTGACCCAGGCTGCAGGAGCTATGATGACTCTGCAGAGAGACAGATACTCACTGGCTTCGTAGACCAAGGCGTTGGCTTTAGCCACAGCTCTCTTGTAGCACACGTACAGGGCTGGACCCCACTGAGACAAAAACAGACACACAACAGCTGTAACAAACTCAAGTGTAGCAGTCCACCATTTACACTGTTTCTAATTAAGTCTAATTAAGGAATTCTCAAATATTTATCCCAACAATAAGAGGACAGGACAACGCACCTAACATTTACATTTAGTCATTTCCCAGATGTAGAAATGAGTTTCAATCCACGCTAAAGCAGTTTGAGGAGAGACCAGTCCAACATTAATTAGCCAACATTAAAGCTGCGACAATTAAAAATCAGCCGACAGGAAATGAATCATTATTTTGATAAGTGATGTAAAATAAGTGCTTTTCTTTCATGACAGTAAACTGAACATCATTGTGTTTTATACTGTTGCTCAGAATAAACTGGATGTCTGAGTCCATCACTCTCAGCTGTGGGAAATTATACTGTATATACTATTTTCAGTTTTATTTTTTCAGTTTAATTTTCTGTTGTTGCTGTTTTCTTCTAACATTTCAGACTCACAAGCTCATCTCTTCCCTGAAAAGCTTTTATTGTGAAACATCCGCAGGAAGTGTTTGGTTTCATTTACAGCGGCTTGAATGAGTTGATTAGTAATTACAGAACATCTGGTAACATCATTATGATACTTTAACATGTTACTCATTAACGTGGAAGAACCAGTTATTGCAAATAATTGTAATAAATGTTAAGAATTTAATTCTGTCTGACTCGCAGGACTCACCATGCCGGTGTTGAGGTTCTTGTCGACGCGACAGAAAGTGTGCGGGGCGACCTCGCCTTTGCTGGGCAGCAGCAGGGCAATGTCGGTGACGCCCAGCGTGTGGAGGCCCTGTGAGTCTAGAGCCCGCCGGTACATCAGGAACACCCGGTGAGCCGTCGGGGCGCCGCCGGAGCTCAGGTTTGCCGAGCGGCTGTATGGCGTCGTCTCGATGACATACCAGCCGTGCTTCAGCTGCTCCTTCCCCTCATACAGAACCCTGCAGGGACACAACATCACCTCAGAAAAACCAGAGAGTGATTGGTGCAAATGAAGTTTCCAGTTTGTCTTGTTTGGACGGAGGCAGTCGGAAATGGGAAGCACCTCATTACTGATTCACATGGACATGGACAAAGTGTTTCTGTGGCTGCCATCAAGCAAAGAGAGCTTGAATCATTTGAATGAATATTACTGTGTTGACATGTTGATTCATTCACTGATGAGGTGATGAAAACTTGAGAAAATGTCTAGAAAGGTCTGGAATTCTGTTGTTGTGGTTCCAACGTTCCTCATCAAATCCTCCTCTGATGTGATGATCTGCTGCTTTTCTCTGTTTTACAGGGCGAACTGAAGATCTCCAAGCAAACAAGATCAGAAGATGCCAGAGATGGGGGCGGGGTGAATCTGATTACAGTCGACTCTGGTTTCACAGAACACCTGGGGCCAGTTGTGCCAAACACCTGGAGTTAAGATTTTCCTTAAAATAAGAACACTTGCACAAAACTACCTTAAGTCTTCTCCTTAACCTTTCCTTTAAATGTTCACTTAAGTATTTAAGGTTTTCTCCTTATCTTACTCTTATACTTATGGAATCATTTAATCTCACTTAAACCATTGCACAACCAAGGTAAGGAAAAAACGAATGGTACGTCTGACTCTATCTTAACAACAACAAGCAATATGAACAAGTGAGTGGTGATAAGTCAAGGGACTGAACACATCCAAGAGGAGTTGGAGAACCCACTGGACTCCCTTAAACAACGAGGAAGTGGTTTTAAATAACAGATTTGACCAGCAGACAGTTTATGCTTTGTCTGACCATCTCCCTACTTTCCACAGCTCTCCTCTTCCACCTCCTTTCTTATTGCTTTGTTATTAATGATTTCTCTACAGTTTGATGCTCTGGATCTTTCTGTTCAGTTACAGTCGAGGTGTTTGGTGTTCACAGGTCAACAGCCCTCCAGACGCTTTGATCACCTGCTGAACACTGATTTTGAGCACTAAGCAGGTTATCACACCTACTGATGTGTAAAGTCAGCGCTGTTGCTGATTTTCGTGTTTTCACATCATTTAGAGGAGGAGACACTTTCAGTGTAAGTTTCAGACAAAATGGAGACGACTGTAAAAGTTCAACCATCACTGGATTCTTTGATACTGTAGAAAACTAAAACACCTGATGATTCTTAGGAAAGTTATGGCGGAAAAAAAAGAATGTTTTTTCTTCTATGATTTGTATGTGGTTATATTGATTTTATTTTGTAATGGACATCTGAGATAATAATACAATGGAGAAGTGTAAGTCACACTGGGTCTAAAAATATCTGCATAATGCCTGTGTGTTCAGATTTGACTGAGTAAGTGTGATCTCTGACACGAATTGAGGAAATTTAAGGGTTTCAAAGAAGCCGTGAGTCAGAGACACTGCTGCCTCCTCAGTGGTCCACAGTCCAAAAACCTCTGATCTACTGAAACCCGACACTCCCAGTGTCCCATTCAAACCTGTCCCTGAGGGGTGAACTCAAAGATTAGCCTCATAAAATCTGCCTCTTCATCTGAAAAGCTCCATTTATCAGGATGAGATTTAAGCATTGGTCCATTGGTTCCCTACCTGCCCACTGTCTCTCAGCTACAGCCCATAAAACCAAAGAAAAAAAAAGATGTAATCTGATGACTAAAGTAAGAGGATTTACTTTGTTATCTCCTAACACGAGTGTAATCCAGAGTAATTAAATAATTCAACATGAACAATAGAGAGGAGTCCGTGTGAAGCTGTTGAGAGTCCAGGATATGACACGACGTCTGCCCACCACTGCCTTACATAATCCACCTCTTATATAAGCTTAAGCTTTAACATGCATCACATGAGCTGAAAACACTGGGCCTGATTTCTAGTCAGTTCAAATTAAAACCGAATAATTTACAGCACAACATACAGTCCATGTGTTCAGTACTAATTCTAACAACTGTATAATCATTCAGTGCAACCTACACTCAGGAACAGACGAGGCACTGGAGGGAAAACAAGTAAAGACGAAGACCTCCACTGTTCATCACTAACGTCTCATCATCAACCTTTTTCATGTGACTGAGGACAGAGCGGTGAGATCTGCAGCCGACAGTGACTGTGCAGCCAGGGAGCGAGGGGCAGGTTATTCTGGGAGCATCGCATCATCAGAGTAAAGTCGAGCCAAAGCTACAGTCAGTTACTGTCAGACAGTGGCGCTCTGACGTCCTTAGGTTCAGCTCTGCAGTGTCTGTTAACTTCCATAACTGTAGGAAAAGGACATCAACACACTGACTCCCTGCGGCCTGGCATGGAGGGAAAACAATTGAAGGTAACCACCTCGCTAAAAAGGCCCAAAACATTTAAACATGAAAGTTTATCTGACACAACCTGCTGACTGTCCCAGGACTAGGGACACCTCACACTACAGCTGACTGTTTCTACTCCAACTGTTTACACTAATGAGTCACCCCCCCTATTTATCATACAGTAAATATAAGTCTATTCTAACCTCCCTCATTCAGAGCAAGACGCACACAAACAGAGAGAGAGAGAGAGAAAATCTTTATATTTATATTGTTTTCATGTCTGTGTCGTGTTCAGATTCAGTCTAGACATTGAAACGATAGTTAAAGGTGTCAGTTTTATGTCATGTTGCTGGTACAATGTCAATATGAATATCAACAGATTTTTTCCATGTGGATTTGTGCTGGGAACCGAGACCCTAACGGCTAACCCTGCGGCTGTGACGCTGCTCTATCCTGTTCACATTCATGACGCAGCGTTTCCTGCCACGACTCTTCTTTCAACAAATTATTTTACTTGCATAGTCGTTAAACAAAACCAAAAACTGTATGGATTGAGTATCTGACTGATAGGGAGTATTGATAAATGTAGCAGTGTTGAAAATCCTGATGATACCCTGCTCCTGTGTTACTGGGTGCTCAATCAAACAACAGCAACAGAAGCTGATGTGGGTTTGTCTCAGGTCCTGCTGAGTCGACTAGACCTGATCTAGAAAGTCCAGTTTTACTAACAGATCCATGAATTTGATGGTTTATCAGCTAAAAAGTGACCTGACGGCCGAACGGTTAGGGTACCACATGGGCTCACTGCATAAAATGCCCCCCCAAAATAATCTGCTATTGATATTGAAATGAGCAGTGAGACAGAAATATTATACAATATAAATGTTCATGTTGTAAAATAAGTCATAGGAGAATGCGTCATGCGACACTGTGTTAAAGAGGCTGCCTCATTGAACTGAATCATGAGCTGTTATGTGTCTGAACACAACATTAGACAAATGGACGTTTTAACTCATCGCTGCAGAACGTTAAAAGTCAGATTTGATTCCATGAAAGTCTGAATCTCATTTCAACACAATGCATTCAACGTTTCTTACCCCAGATCCAGAATGGGTGGTTTGTCCCGTCCTCTGCGGTAGCACAGGTACAAGTGCGGGTTGTTGATGAGGCCGGCGCTCAGCTCGGCCGAGTGTCCACCCAGGGTCTTCTCGATGCAGGTGAAGCCCTCTGGCACCTCCTCCCCGAGACCCTTGGCGATCACCGCCAGGTCCGTCACCGGCTCCACTGCCCGGCCCGACGAAGACAAGGAGGACGTCGAGGAGGAGGAGGAGGAGGAGGAGGAGGAGAAGGTCTTGCCATCCTCATCCAAGGGCCTCCAGGGCCCTGCAGGGTCGAGACCTGCCACTACAAAGTAGTCCACCAGCTGGGGACATTTCTCCTCTGTCATGCCGCCTGTCTGCCCTCCACTGCAGAGACAGAGAGAGAGAGACTGTAGATTAATTATTTAAGAGTTAGAGGAACTTAGTTTGTCTTGTGCATTCAAAGAGACAGGTATAAAGTTTGTGGTTTAAAAACCAGGGTCAGAGCAGGTTTCAGACCAACTGTCCAAAATCGAAAGATACTGAGTTTAGGAGAAAGCATCAGATCCTCACATCACAAAAGGTAGAAACTGCAAATATTACAATTATCAACATGGCTGCTGATTTATTTTCTCTGAATCGACTAATCAATTAATCAACCAATCAGCAGCTCTACTTCTAACATTTAGTGATTTCTGTACCTTCTGCATGTCAGCTAACTTATCGGCCATTATATAAGACAGTACTTTTGCCTTGATACTATTTAAATTGTACTGGTCCGTGGGTTACATTACAATAAGAGAGTGTTGCATAATGGGTTGTTTTATGTCCCTAATTTTTCAAGGCTTGAATTCTTGATTGAAGTCTGTTTACAGTGCATCTTTCAGTCTGCCTTCTTAATGTTTAGTTAGTCCACATTAGCTAACCCTAGCCCTTTAGTATAAAGGTAGATGTCTGTTTTCCACTATTCAAACCTTGCAGGATTTGGTGTCTTTGAGTGTTTTTACCTAAAATCTGCTTTACTTTTATTGGATCAGTCAGAAAACAGTCAGCCAATCAGAAGAGAGGCTCAGAGCCTCCTCTCTTCTGATTGGCTCACCAACCTGTTGTTACTAGAGCTGCAGAGAGAAGCCTGAGAGAGGAGATGTAAAACTACACTGAGATGGTTTTTATATCTTCTGATGGATCAACACTTCAAATAAAACACAGAAGAAGAAGAAACATGGAGCCCAACAAAGCCCTGAAATATGTACCACTAACAACACGACACCCAACCACTTCACGCTCAACTACTACCACTGAGTTTATCCATCACTTACTCAGAAATTACAGTGGACTCTCAGCACTGACCCTCAGTGTCTCCTGAACATTGATCAGCAGTAACCAAAGTGAAAAACAACAACAGCCATTATTCTGTTCCTGCATTACTCGCCTTAGTGCAAACCTTCACTGCAGATCAACAGCCTGGATAAGCTTCTTCTGTTGTCATGAATGTGTAGCAGATACAAATTGTGCAGTCCCTTTAAAAAGAGCTGGATGGATTGTACCAGTGTTAACAAACAGTTTGTTGACACGTCTGTGGTTCTTTTCACCGAGTGGGAGATTATCTCAGACTCTGAATTACAAGCCACAGCCGTTTCTCTCACTCGGCTGCTCGTAATTACAGTTTCAACAACATGACATGAATGTGACAAATGAGACAGCTTTAAAAAAACATGATCCTCTGAATAACTAATTAAGTTGACACATCTAAAAATAATCATAATTTTATACACACATCAAAGTCCGTTTTAAAGATACTCAATCTGTCTCTCTATGATTTGTATAACTGTAAAATACTGACATTTTTCTATTTAACGTTACATTTACCACGATACTTCAGTTATTTACAGTTTATCTTGCACTTTGTCATTTTTGTCAAAAACTTACAAATAAAGTGAATTGAGGTGAGATTGAAGTGAAAACAACAGGAGAGGCATTAAAGAGGAATGAGATGCAGTCTGATGGTTTTCCATTCAGTGACACACACACACACACACACACACACACACACACACACACCACACACACACACACACACACACACACACACACACACACACACACACACACACACACACACACACACACACACAATGACTCAGTGTCCTGGGGGTCAAGCCAATGAGTTACTGCCCTGAATCTCATCAGCCAATCAGAGAAGAGACAAAAAAGAGAGCTCCATACCTGACCTGACCCGGCTTTTTGATTTTCATTTATTTTCTTCTCATCGTCACATTTACATCTTCAAAACTTTCATTCTAATCTACTTTGTACTTAATTTTATTTTCACACATTTTTTCTTTCTATAAATTCTAAATAATGAGAGACATCACGACAGACCGAATCTTCATGGTGATGTGTAGTTACAAAATCAATATGTGATTAAAATGAAGAGCAGAGGACAGGGTGGTGTGTGTGTGTGTGTGTGTGTGTGTACAGCACGGTATAAAAATAGGATGCACAGTGATGCTGTGAGATGCTGAAAGCACTCTTATGTAACTGTAAATGTCCGTTGCCCTCTCTCACCCTCTATCCTCTCTGCCTCTGGAGACCGAGTGGGAAAGAGACGGTAGAAGAGACTGTGAATGAATCACAATGAGACTACTGCTGCTTTATCATTTATAAATGAGCTCATACTAAACTGAGTAAAAACTCAGCTTGGGCTCATATTTCATAATATCAAATATTGCTAAATTTCCTGCCATGTGTGATATTTTTCTTATTATTATTACGTATTATTATTATTAATAATGTTGTCCATCCATCCAGCCAGTCCACACGTCCCTTTCCACAGCAATGTTTTCCCTCTTCCTCTTCCTGGAGGATCCCGGGGCGTTCCCAGGTCAGATGAAATATAAAATCTCTCCAGTGAGTTTTGGGGGGGGAAGACCTCCAATGGAAGTCGCCCAGGAGGAGGCGTGCTAATCAGATGCCTGAACCACCTCAACTGGGTCAGAATGAAGAAAGATTGAGAGCTTTGCCTTCAGGCTCAGCTCCATCTTCATCTTCATCACAACAATCTGGATCCGATCCTGATTGGTGCAGCGGTAATATGTTATATCAGCCATATTTGGGCTGGACTGTATCGGTATAGAGATATTACATTTTGCATATTGCCCAACCCTAGTAAAAGCACAGACACACTTTCTGTAAACCACAGTATTTTCTTCCTGCAGGGTGGGGCGACAGACTCAGGGCCGTCATCAGAGGGTGAAAGTGAGAGAAAGACATTAAAAAGGATGGAGAGGAAGAAGTACGACGAGGAGTGGGTCAAAGGTCAGCTAACAAACAGGACGAGAGCTGGCTGCCTGTTTCCTGTCCATCAATGACTTCCTGATGACAAAGCAGTGCATGTGACAACGCAGCTCCAAGGTTTGAATCTGACGCGTGGCCCTTTGCTGCATGTCTCTCTCCCTGACTTTCATGTCTGACTTTCCCAACAATGATCCACACACTTTCCAATATTTATGATTATAAATGAACATTTCAGAATGACTCATCGGACACCAACTACTCTTTTCTTTCTCTCCTCTCTTCAGCAGAAACAGTCTGACATTAACTGTTTTATGTGCATCACATGTTCATAACAGTTTGTTCATCATCAAAGAGCAAAAATACTCATTAAGCAATAATTCACACACTTATTTACGATATATCCTCAGTGTGACCTTAATAATTAGAAATTATTTCAAGTGTTTCTTTTTTATTCTAGTCATGTGATCATATTGTTTACATTTCACCTTGTTGAATATCACGTTTGGATGACGCTATAACAGAATTTACCTGCAGGTATCAGCGTTTCTTTTCAGATCATATTAAGTACTTTATTCTGGTACTTTAATGGTTCTGATGATGTTGCTTATAATTAACAACTCTTCCTCTTCCACATGAACAAGCTCGTACATGGACAGGTAAACCCAGGGTTAACTGAGCCAGCTGACAACCTGCTTCATAGTACAGGTGATCAGGATGGTCAATGTTAAGTTCGGTTAAACCAGAAAAGGAAAATATATCCTGGGTATGTTGAACCTGTTTCATAGTACGATGCCAAAGATTGTGAGTGAAGAAACATCACTCTGGAACATCTCTCTACAACCACTGGTGAACTGTTTTTGTAGTTCAACAGAGAGGAGACTCTTCTCCAGACAAATGATCAGCTGATCGCAACTCGTTGGAGCTCGTTAAGATCAGAGTTCTGGATCAGGAGCTTCAGGATCTTGATCAGGTAGTTTGTGAAGAATCAGGTGTGAAAGTCAGTTTGTTCGAGCTGTTTCACATCGTCACAACAATCAATATTAATCAATAATCAATGTTCTTCAGCTGCTCAGCTCTATTTCATGGTGTCAACATTAATTAGCTTCATTGATGTTAATGTAGATTAATTTAGCAGCTGCCATTAAAAACTGTAGGATTTCAGCTGAACTGAAACTTTATTTATAACTTGATTTGAAAGGATTCAGCTCTAATACTCACTGTAAAGAAAAAGTCATTGTAAAATGGATGAAAGCTGTTTTTTTTGTTTGTTTTGTTTTTTAAAATCTGATTGATAGGGGTTTGTTGCCATGTCAACATAATAATTCAGCGAGTATAATGTTTACCATATTGTGTACCAATGCTAAGATTTGTAAACAGTTGAGGCTGAGGGGAACGTCATTAGTTCTTCAGGAATATGTTCATAAACCAAAGTATTGGACACGTTAAGATGTTGACCAGTTGATGAGAGTCAAGATCAGTTATTCCAGTTCGTCTTGAGGGGAACATGAACGTCTGAACCACTTTTCACCATCCACTTAATCCATCTAACAGATGCTGAGACGTTTCAGACGTTTCCAAACCATCACTACTGTCCATACAACCACTGTAAACACATTTAATGTGGTGTAAAAAATAACATCTTCCTCAGTGAGCCTATGCATGTCTTGTACATGTACTAAATATTACAGTTAGCTGATTAGCTGAAGCTCTTATTCAAAGTTCCTATATCAGCAAAAGTTAAGAAGGTGAAAGGTCAATACTTTGGTAACTGATGAGGCAGCTGAGTGACAGAAACACTACTGGAGCAAGTCACATGTAAAAAAGAGAAACGAGAGAAAAGAAAGAAAGATTTTTCTTTGAAGTGTTGTTGGTTCACTTCTGTGTCATCTCTGTAATTTAAGTCTGTTTGTTGCAGTGAAGAACAGGGTCTTACTGTCAGAGAATCCTCCATCCTCCCATCCAAACTTTACATTATTGTTATTGTAGTAATTAAGTATTATTGCCAGTAACATTCAGTTCATGTCTGACACTAAGGGAGTTGTCTGTTCAAGAGACATAATAGCAAATTTTAGCTGCAACAGCGGATTTCATCACAGTTACTTCCCCTTTTCAATGGCCAATGTGCAACATTGGAAACATTTTACACACACATGCATGCGTGCGCACACACACACACACACACACACACACACACACACTTCTAAATACATACTGGAAAGCCCAGAGAAATGTACCAGGTTTCCTCACTGACAGAATGCACTGCAGTACAACAGTTCAGCTTTGTGTCAGTACAACCAAAATCATATCTCTCTAAACAGCAGTGTAGGATTATTTCTTTTGTTGTACATTATTTCCACTTAAATCTTCTAGTATAAGGTACGTCATGGTGGCCTTGTGGTTAAGACCATTAACCCTTGCTGTATGTCACGCCCCTCTTTCTTTTCTCTCATTTCCTGTCATTGCTTCACTGTCCTCCTTTGAAGAGAGTCAAAGGTGCAAAAGCAAACACTTACAGAGTAGTGGAGAATATCCACCAGTTTCCCAGAGATAATCGAAAATCACATCTTCAAATGTCTTGTTTTGTCTGACCAACACAAGTATGTTCAGTTTATAGTCATATAAGACAGGAAATCCACAAACACATTTGCTCATCTGACAAGAAAAACTTACAGATGTCTTATAAAAAAAAAAAGATCAAAATAAAAGTATTTCCCACAAGAGGAAAACTTATTTTATCTCTCAGAGTTAAAAGACTATTGCACTGCTTAAAACACAATCATAAATTTGCAGCACATTTGAGATGATGGTTCTGTATTGGAGCAGGTTCAAAACACAATGCTGTCATCACAACAACCTGATGTTACGTAATGTTAGAGTCTCTCTGGTTTGGAGTTTTTGCTCAACTTGTGTGTTCTAGGTAACATCACACCAACTGAGTTATTTCTGCCTGTCAGAAGTCAGCCGGCTGTTAGCTGTGGTCTTTGTGGCGCGTTCAAGTGCAACTTTTAGCAGAAGATACGAGGCAGAGAGTCACGCATGTGTTTTCACACGGGGTGTGTCTCTGCTGCTGCAGCACTGTCTCACTACATAAAGTTTGCAGGTTACTCCAATGTTGTATTTCTTTTCATTATAAATTAATTTATGATTTATGATGGACAGACAATGCCACTAAAATGTCTCTGTCTCCACATGCAGCTGGTAAAATAGTTAAAAAACATATTTAATTATTTCATGTCTGTGTCATATTCAGATTCAGCAGAGACAACTATAGTGGAAGGGGTCAGTTTTATGTGATGCTGCTGCTATGACGTGAACATGACATAGACAAGGTCTTTTCTTTGTCTGTTTCTGCTGGGAGACACATCACGCATGAAAAATGGGTGAAAGGACGAATCTCCAGATCACGCCACGCAGCCGTGACGCGTGAGACGTGTGTTTCACGCAGCCAGTGTATCTGCTCTAACCCATTAACATGTGTTTGTCATGAAAACCAAGTGCCGCTACGCACACACAACTCATCCAGTGTGTTCCTGGCCTTGGTGTTTTAAGCAGAACAGGCTTTAGGGATGGTAGTGTCAAGTCTATTGGTTGGTCCACCACTTTGGGACAGACAGAAATTTCTAGGGCTGGCTATCGAACTCTCATCAGTGTCAGCAATCGAACACTTTTGAGTGTGTAAAGAAAACAAGCATAAAAATAAAACTAAAATTTGTCCCGTGTGTTGTAATTTTCTTTTTGTTAAAATGGATTTGATCAAATTGGTATCGAAAAAAGGATTGTTAAGAATCTGTTTCAAAATCGAGGTATCTGATATTGAAAACCCAGCCCTAGAAACTTATCAACAACTATTGAATGAATTGTTTGAAATTGAGGTCTGACATACATGGTCCCCAGAGGATGACTCCCAATGACACTGATGATCCTCTGAATTCACCACTGGCGAATAATGTTAACATCTGTGCTTTTGAGTGAAACAAATATTATCTCTGCCATGAAACTCGTGGACATTCATGGTCCCTTCAGGATGAACTGCTCCCAGAACAGCCTAAATTCTCGGCGTCATGTATTCGACAAGGTCCTGAAACCTCCCTCAGAGATTCTGCTCCGTGTCGACATGACATCATCACATCAGCTGTATTAACATCAGTGTTTGACGGCAGTGAATTCAGTCAGAGCAGCAGGTAGTTCAAGCTGAAACAAGCTCTGAACGTTCGTCAATCTGTTCAGTCAGGACTGCAGGAAAGTGGAAGTGAAATGCCTGAGAGGAAGTCTTTCTCAACTTCATCAAATGCAAATGTTATTAATAATGTCAACAGCTGCTGAAACCTGAACCTCTCATCCGCTATCAACTGTGGTTTCCCCTAAAAACACAACTTCTCTACTTCTGAGACAGGAATAACTGTTTCATTCTCTTTACCTGGCTCAGTCTCACCTGTCTGTCTGCACAGCCAACTTTACAACAAGAGAAACATTAATTCAGGTTTCCTAAGAACTTGGTTCTCTAGACACCGATAATAGTGTTAACGCTGGGTTGTGACTGTAAAAATGGGGCCACAGACTTTCCAGGTGCAGCCTGATTAAAACTGTGGCTGCTGACCAGAAAACCATGAATTTAGACTGCTCTCGGTCTAATTGTAATTCTAATTCTAGACCTGAATTACTCAAGTTTTAACCAACATCTCTGCTAGTTTCACCACCTACAAACTCTAAAGTCTGAGTGGACTGCAAGCCTGATGGTCAACAGCCCCCATCAGTTTTCTGAAAGATCAATGCCTGGTGATCTAAAAAAAAACAGTGGTTGTTTCAAAACAACATATTTCCAGAATTCTCAAAGACACTTCTGAATATCTGGCCAAAACAATTATTTAACTGCTGCACCATGAAAAATAATTTAAACCTGTTATGACTATTGTCGTATACAATGACCATCAGTTTAATTATTATTCATCCAGAGGGCTAGGAGTCTTTTTGAGGATTCTGGAAAACCCTTTGTTATGCTATAAAACAGTGGTTCCTGACATGGGGGGTTAGGATCCCTCAGGGGTGTGACCATCCCTCTACCTGGTCTGCACTGCTGTTTTTCTCTCTCCTGTCTGTCTCTCGGGCTACAGAGTGGCAGCACTGTAAGCGGCAGCAGGGAAGACACACCTGGGCCAGGTGTACCACATGTATAAAGGATGTAACAGCAGCCAGTGTGATTGAGATCTCTCCCCACAGACCTCTGGGTTGTGGCTTTTGTTCCATTTTCTTTGGTCTCACTCTGCAAAACACCCATACAGCACACTTCAACTCCCCCACCCCCTACACTACTGGCTTTACAGAATTTGTCCCACCTGTTTGTTTTTGACTCGTTTTTGATATAAATAATACACTTTATTATGATCTTGTCCCGGTCTAAGAGCCCTTCAGCAATAGTTTTACAATAATGTACGAAACTACAAAGTTAAAGTTGTCCCCAACTTCAGCTGAATCTGCTTCGTCCATAAAGACAACTAGAAAACAACAGCTTTATAAATGCTTAATTAACACAGAGAGCAGTCATACCTCCCTGTGAAATAGGTGGTAATGCTCCTTTATTTAAGTTATAATGTTTATGCTGAAACCCTTTCAGAGAGGTGGAGACTGCAGTTTGTGGTGCTGTTGAACTGTAGGGTGTTTATGATTTTTTGTCCACCTCCTAAATATTAGGTCATATCATCTTAAGGTCTCTGTCCATGTGTAGTGTGATTATAGATCAGGTCTAGGTTCTATATTAATACTGTGAAAGTATCAAAGCCTCAGTCCACAGAGAAATGCACACAGCCTGTATTCAGAAACTGAGCCTTAAAACCAGCCGTCAGGACTTCTGGAACTTTGTGATGTCACAACAAAGCAGTCACCAAGCCCCGCCCACCTGGACCCACCATCCAAACCTTGCAGGATTTGGTTTCTCTGAGTGTTTTTACCTGAAATCTGCTTTATTTTTATTGGATCAGTCAGAAAACAGTCAGCCAATCAGAAGACAGGCTCAGAGCCTCCTCTCTTCTGATTGGCTCACAGACCTGTTGTTACTAGAGCTGCAGAGAGAAGCCTGAGAGAGGAGATGTAAAACTACACTGAGATGGTTTTTATATCTTCTTATGGATCAACGCTTCAAATAAAACACAGAAGAAGAGCCTCTCAGATGACAATCTTCAATTATCAAAATTGTTGTGTATTCTTTTTCAGTCAAGTAACAGATTAATTAGGAAGCAAATTAATTTAGTAATAGTAATGCGGTGAGAGTGTGACCAACCAGAAAAAACCAAACCACCGTTTGTTTGTTTGTGGTTTTGATGAGGCTTTTGTTCAGAACTGATGACGCGCTGCTCTTCTCAGTGTTAACAAAAACCCCTTCATCACATACATTCACTAACAACAATGCTTATCTTTGTTGTCTCCATTTAAAAGAAATAATGTTTTCTTACTGCAAGTCTTTCTTCCAGTCACGTCAACAGTCACAAACGGTCCTGGTCTCCGGCAGTCTGCGAGCAGTCCTACCTGAAGAGCTGTCAGGAGCTTTAGGTCTCGTTTTGACAGTTAGTCACTAGGAAGTGAGTGGTGCTGCGACGGAGGAAAGTAGAGCTTTCATTTCCAGTTTCTCAGCCAGTAAAAAAGTGCAGCTGAGTGAGATGCAGCTGAGGAGGAAGGAAGGTTTTTTTTTTTTTTTTTTTTTTCCCAAACTAGTGAAGGTGACATCTCCACCACACACACATACACACACAGCGGGCATATCTGTGTGTCAGAGCTGTGAGTTAACTGGTACGAGGGGTGGGGGTGGGGGCGGCGGACCACAACAGCTCTTTGTCTTCTCAGGGAATCACAGTGTCTAACACACCAGTCTTCATCTCTCAGCATGTTCAGTGAGATAATGGATGACATGATCACCGATGGAGTCACATGACTGATTTCTATAATCCCACTGAGTCATATATGTTGGGTGATTTACAGTTCTCTCTCTCCCTCTTTGAACGGACATGAAGATCTCCTGGTTAAATCCCCAGAATTAAAGATGAACAACTGGTTAGAAAATATCTGGCTGTTTGATAAACAGTCAAAAGTTAAAGCAGCATGTGGATGTAAAAACTGAAGGAGAGAAGTCAATTATGATTTCCAACAGGAAACATCCACAGAGCTTCACTGAAACTAAAGTTCACATTTTGTAAAAATATTCTGGGTCAAGTTTGGTTTAATTTGGGAACCTGTTGCATTCCCACTTGTAACAACAAAGTAACATGAATTTTGTCTCTGAGGCTCATGGGTATCAGAGTATTTAAAGCCAAACCTCACCAAACAGACAGAATAACCTGATGTTTCAGAAACAGTTGAAATAATCAAAACACGGACCCACCCAACTGTCCGTGCCACACCCTTCTCTCCCCCCTCGTCATGACTTTAGTCTCTGGGATAATACATTTAAAACTATTCAACATATTTACCACCATTAGGTACAGCCTTATCAGAGATGCAGTTCCTCTAATAAATCTCAAAAAGATCTAACTGCATTTTTTAATATGCATTTTTAGCCTCTAATGTTTGTGAGAGGTGATTTTAAAACCTAATCTGTTGAGACAGGGCAGGAAACATATTTATTCTCATTTCTGAAAGCAGGAGAAGATAGGAGAAAAGTTTGTGGGTGTAACAAGTCAAGCTGAAACACCCACAGGGAAATAAAATGACTTCTGAGTAATTATTAATGTCAGTTCTGTTTAAGCGAGAAATCTCTCAAAGCTTCTGTGACAAACGCTGATTGTGAACCTGTCTGATTTCATCACTAACCTCACTTCAAGAGGGAAAAACCTCTTGAGTTAACAACTTCCTTCTCCAGCTGACGTCTCTTGGTTTCGATATCTCATCACTAGTGCTGTTGTTTAGTGTTACTTTGACTTCAACACTGCAGAAAACCCAGTGTGTCTGACACTGGTATCAATATTAATCACAAAAGAGGAAATCAACTAAACACCTCATGTAAATGGTTTCATTTTAATAACATCATGACTTCCTGTGAGTCACTGAATTTCTCTACAGGATTCAGTCCCTTCATTTTTCTCTGTCCAGATCCAGGTTTTCCTCTGCCATTATTAGACTACGGCAACATGAAAAGGAAAAATTGAAACCGCGTTTTCTCCATCCATACTAACACACCTGAAAACACATATCTCATGACCACTTCACGTACACTGGGCATGCATGTGCCATTGTAAACAGGAAGCAGATTGTCTACTCAGATTGCGGTTGTTGCAGAAAATACTCTGAACAAAGAACAGCAAAGACAGCTGTAGTGTTAAAATGCAGAATTTAACTGAACAGCTGCTGCTAGCAAAGACGACAAGGACAGTAACACTTTTAATTTCTTTATCCATGTTGTATTCACCACTGGTAAGTCAAGGCCATTGAGAGCCAATCAGGAGGCGAAACGTGTGTGTCTCTGTCACTGTTGGCTGGACTGCAACAGCAGGGCCAGCCCTATAATTGCGAATGTCCCTGTCCGATATTTCCACCACTGCTCAGTGGAGTGTCGAGCAGCAGTCTACAGAGCCTCTCTGTTTTCCCGGCTGCTCGGGCACTGCAGGGAAGAGAAGGAGCACTTCCAATACACTGAGCTTCGCCTCCATTACAGCAAATGAATTACTTTGATTCCATGTCTCATTATCACTGGGAGGAGAGAGAGGAATAACTAAATAAAAGACACACCGAGCAGAGAGAGCAGGAGAGAGGGAAGTCATCGAATGAGGATTCGTACTAACAACTATGACCAACTCTACATATCAAACAGAGGGAGTCAGACATAGAGACCTGCGTCTAATAAAAGTCTGTGACGTTCTAGAGTCGAAGTAAGTAAAGACTAAACTATTGTGCATCCAGACGGAGGCTGTGCTTTGTGTGAGAGACTAAATAAGAAATATAATTTACCTCAGAGCCTGTGCCTCAGTAGCTCACCTAGTAGGGCGCTTGCCCTGGGTTTAGTCTATGCCCCGACAGGACGGGTTTGAATCTGGCCTGTGGCTCTTTGCTATGTGTCATCCTCTCTCTCTCTCCAATTTTCCTGTCTGTCTTTATCACTATGACTGTAATAAAGTCAAAAGCCTGAAAAAATGACTTAAAAGAGGAAGATCTGTCTCTCCTAACTTTCTCTCTGAGTGTTTAAGTAAGTAAATACAGCTGAAATCACAGATCAGTCTGTCTTTAATTTATGTGTTTGGTGAGTTTGTCAGACGACATCGCAGTTATAAAATCAAGATTTGACCATACGCAGTCCAGCTACATACTAGGTTGCCCTAGTCATTTCCAAAAGTCTCTGCCTGGCCAGACTACAACGTAACCCCGGTCAAACTAAAAACGAGTCCAGCAGCGTTTCCAAAAGTCTCTGTTTCAGTGGCTCGAAAACTCCAGAGTAGTGTGGACAGTATATGTAGTAAAAGGGATGAGTTTTGAAACTAAAACGTAGTAGTGTGGATGTCGCCTGAAACACCAGGTACTGACAGTTCATCACTGTACAGGTTGAACATGTGTAACAATGACAGCCTTGTTTGCACATGTGGCCACAAACCATGTAGTTTTACAATTATCTTTCTGTTCAGTCTTCAGTTCAGTTCACATGCATGTATCTGATGTATTGGACCAAAGCAGTGGTCTCCTGGATGGAAGATTCACCTATCTTTTTTGCTGTAAAAGTGTCTTCAGACCATGACTGTGGAGGCTGTGCCTCCCACTGTGTTGTCCTGAACTGAGTAAGCTGTGCTCAAGCAGCGTCAGGAGGCCCTGGGGCCTCGGTGCAGGCTGTCTTAAAAGTGCTAACACCAGGTTTGGCTATTTAAAGCCTCCGCAGAAAACACTGACCAATGTGACAGTTGGTGAAGCTCCCTGCTGCTTTCTAATCTCAGCTCCTGACAACAAAAACATTTCCAACAGAAACACTTCACTGTCTCTGCAGTAAACAGTAATCATCATGCAGGTTTTAGAGGAGGACTCGTCTGTAGCTGGACTGGATTATTACAGACAGACTCAGAGAGCAGAGCTGAAAGTGGAGGAGCTGAAACGGCTGCAGACTCCTGGAGGAGATTTAAATATCCAGAGTCTAAATTTAGAGCGTCCACAGAGCGGCGGCTCATTTTATGAACAGTAGCATCAGGAGGACTGAGAGGACACACAGCCGCTTCCCAAAATTAATTCACATGAGATGATGCCATGTTCATGACGTAAACAACAACCAGCGGAACAAACGAACACACAGGGTTTAGTGTGGACAGGAAGCTGACAACAGGTCCTCACACTCACTTTATACTGAACACTGGCATGCAAAGATTATTTCATTATCCATTAATAAGAATCTGTTGTATTTTCACAATGAATCATAGAATCATATATTCTTCTTATAAAAAGTTAAATAGTTTAACAGAGCTGCAACTACGGCTGGGCCAATATTCGATCATATCGATATTCGATCATATTGAATGTCGCAATATTTTTCTTTTTTTTTTTTTTTGCAGTTTTGCACAGTCTGCCCTGCTGCTGAGTCAGACCTTCATCTCACTGCTTTGCTTACTGACATTGGCTTGATAAATAAAAGTTTGAACTGCTGTTTAGTGGCAGCATCGCTTATACCTGAAACATAATAAACAATAATATACCTTCTTTTAAATCACTTCCAAAAACACATTTCTTTCACAAAGCTTTTGAATAATCTCTTTTAAATATTTTACTAAATTTACTTTATCATTATTTGTGTTTCTATTTTTATTTAGTTTTTATTGTTTTATCTTGAGTAATTTGTCTGCATGTGTTTGTTTTATTATTATATCCTTGAGAAGCACTTTGTAATCTCGGATTTCTATAGGGGCTATATAAATAAACTTTATCATTAACATATTATTATATTATAAATATATTAATTGTCACCCTGGACTCCGGGAAACGGGCATTTTTTTCCACAGTTTTCAGATATTTTACAGACAAAGACATTAATCAATAATGAAAATAATTATGAGTTGATCTAGTTTAACCTGAGACCTCTCGAAATGCTTCAATAACCTGTTGTCATTATTTTTTCAACATTAAGAAAATTTTTAAGAGCAATTAAAGTGTCTGAGTAATAAGAACATTTAGAAACGTACGATTCTGATTATGTTGAATCTGTTTAGATAATGATGGAGGACAGAGGAAAGAAGACAGAGTGACACAGAGAGGGATGACTGTGTGTCTTCGTGTGTGTGTGTGTGTGTGTGTGTGTGTGTGTGTGTGTGTGTGTGTGTGTGTGTGTGTGTGTGAGGACACAGGTCAAGGTGGCTGGTGCTACACTAAGCACTAAGCTGGAGGGTGATTCACACAGAGAAACAGAAGAGAGGATGGAACTGATGACGATGGTTAGAAGAAGACTGTTAACACCATTTATTATATTATTATTTACAGGAGCCAAACTTCTCATGTATAAGTGATACCGGCTCTTGGTCATCAGTCTGAGTTCTTTATATTTCATCATGTTCATCACATCAGCCTGTTGGATAGTGACAACAGACAGAGCTTCAA